AGATGCCCACTTGATTGTGGCTAGATGGCTCCCGGGCAAACCTGGTCTAGGATTCGTCTGGGTTTTGCCTTTGGCACATCCTAGGGTGGGTCTGATATTTGAATCATTGATGGAATCTGTAAAGTTCTGCCCTAGCCCCCACCCATTTGGGCCATTGGAACAGCAGTTCAGAGGAGAGTGTGACCCACTCAACAAGCAGATCCCCTGAAATGGTGAATTTGCAGCAGAAGACCACCCGGGGATGTGTAACTTGGTGAAATGTTCTGTTCAAGGGCAGCAGAGCAGTGGGGCTGTAGCTTAGGTTCATCCTGTGGATGAGCAGAGGGAGGCCCAGGAATGGCCAACACTGCCTCCCTTACAAATTAGTGTTCTCTGAGCAAGGCTTGGGTGAGATCCCAGGGTTAGGTTTAATGTCTGATCCAGTTTGGGTTGATTAGGCTCTGTGATCTCTGTGCCTGTGTTGTCCCCTGCCTCCTCCTCCAGGGGTTTTGCCCTGGAGGTAGTGGGAGCTAAGTCTCCTGAGCCTGCTAGTAAGCCCTGTCCCTCCCCACAGGCTTCACTGCTGACCTGAGGTCCAACACCGGTGGCCAGGCCTTCCCCCAGTGCGTATTTGACCACTGGCAGATCCTGCCCGGGGATCCCTTCGACAACACCAGCCGCCCCAGCCAGGTGGTGGCTGAAACACGCAAGCGTAAAGGCTTGAAGGAAGGCATCCCTGCCCTGGACAACTTCCTGGACAAATTGTAGGCAGCCCTCCCCTGCAGCCCACCACCCCAGGTGGGACTCAGCACAGCCCCTGCACCCGGCTGACGATCGACCACAGCAACAAGCCCTCGCATTCTCCATGACACCTCGAGACTGTCCAGTGACGCTCCACCTGACAGGTTCTGGGGCCCACTTAGTGCCATCACTCAACGTGAACACTTGATGCCGTTTCTTTCAATATTTATTTCAAAATTTCAGAGGCAACAAACGCCCTAGCAGCAGGGACTTATTTGGCCGGTGGGGGTGGGGGAGGCGGGATGGGACACTCAACATTTTTTTTCCATTTCAGAAACTCAAATGTCAAAAAAAAAAAAAAGCGCATTAAGAGGTTTATTTGGGTAAATGGCCGGTAGTGGATTTCCCCCCAGAAAGGGGGAAGGAACGAGCGGGTAGACCTTTCTTTTTGGACAGAAGCTAGAAGGCAGGAAACTTTGTGCGGTGTCACCGTGAGCACCTCCAGCTGTATTAGTGCCATTGGAATAATAAATTTGATATGGTGGTGACTGTGTGTGTCCCTGTGACTTCCTTGGTCCAGTCAGGCTGCAGTGGGCTCCCCTGTGCCATTCCCCACCATTGGTGATACTGCAATGCAGGTTAAACCTGACCTTGAAGTACCTTTTTAGAGCCCAGCAGTCCTCCCCTTTGGTACATGGGGCTAGCTGATGGGATGGCGGAGCCTCATGGACCCATGTGGTACAGAGGGGCAGCCCCTGGCTGGTGTGGCTTCCGGGTCCTGAAGTGAGCCCTGTCCCAGTGAGGGAAAACCACAGAAGAAACTATCACCTGCCAGGCAAGTTGTCTTAATTGATCCACAATTGGTTATTCAGAAGTTAAAAGTAGGAATATAAGTGACACACCTATGTAATTTTTATTTTAACCTCAACGTTTTAATTCTGGACAGAATGTAGTACTAAGATCTTTCTACTTCATGCTGCTTAATCTTCCTTGGATTGAAAAAACCCAGCTTTAACAGTGATGCCACAACTGTGACGGGAGCTGAACACTATCAGTAATTAAAAGGCAGGAACCAGGGATGATGGATGTCCTGCATTGCACAGCTCTGCCCATCTAAGTTGTACTGTGCAGTCTCCAACCCCCAGCATCTGCCAACAAGGTCCTTTTAAAGGTGGAAAATGTTAAGATTTGGAGGGAGCACTAAGGAAGTTTTTGAGAGGACGAGGAGAGGAGAGGGAGAGAAGCAGATTACCTGCTGAGCCAGAATACTGATGGGGGTCTGAGTGTCAGGACGGTGGATCAGACACTTCAGCAGACTGAGCTATCTAAGCGCCCTGTTGGAAGTTGTTCTTATTTCAAAACCTGACATTGCTTGAAGGGCACATGAAGTTTTTGCACTTTTGTAAACCTTTATTTTTGAATAATTTTATATTTACAGAAAAGGTGCAAAGATGTTACAAAGGTGTGCTAATTGTTTACTTGGTTTTCCACTAAAGTCCTTTACACAGTTACAGGATCCAATCCAGGATACCTCACTGAATTTTTTTTTAATCTTTTTTTTTAAATTTTTATTTATTTATGATAGTCACAGAGAGAGAGAGGCAGAGACACAGGCAGAGGGAGAAGCAGGCTCCATGCACCAGGAGCCCAATATGGGATTCGATCCCGGGTCTCCAGGATCGCGCCCTGGGCCAAAGGCAGGCGCCAAACCGCTATGCCACCCAGGGATCCCAATTTTGCACATTTTTAACATCCAGCAATTTGTCAAAAGATAGGACTGTAAATTGAAGATCAGACTGTTTTAAGTTTTAAATTCTAAATTCATATGTTACTTGGGGTGTTTGGCTTGCTAACAGCAAGTCTAGGTGTGCATTTTCAGCTGTAAATTTCAAAAGGATTACATTTGTAGGGGCTGACCTGACTTCATTACGTCTTTGTGTTAAATTATTCCCAAGCATCAACGTGTTCAAGTATGTGTGTGTGTGTGTGTGTGGGTGTGTATTGTTGGCTACATGTTTTCCTTTAATCGATTTTAACTCGTCCCTTTAGGCCAGTAGTTCTCAACCTTTTTAGTCTCAGGACACCTGTATATTCTTAATCATTATCGAGGACCCCAAAGATCCTTTTTGTTTACATGGGTTTTATCTACTGATACTTACCATGTCTAGAAATTTGGGAAATTTAAGAATAATTGTTTTAAAGATAATAAACCCATTGTGTGATAATGTTTTTATGAGGAAAAGAACCTTCCAAAAAATTAGTGGTATTCGACATTTTTGTAATCTTTGAACTCTGGCTTAATAGAAGCCAGATTCTCACGTCTGCTGTGTTAAGTCTATCAGTCTATCGTGATAACGTGGTTTTGGTTGGATTCTATGTAGCGTATCCAGCTTCATTCCTGTCCTTCGAGAAGAGAAGCACTTTAAGAATTGTTCTCAGGTGGTTGGTGTGGGTATTCTTTGATACACCAAAACTCAAGTGGTAATTTAATTGTGTGGTATCTGAAATCGTATCAATGAGCTTTTCATGCTGTTAATTAAACTCCATTGGCTCCATCTTGCACTTTGTGTCCTTTTCCCATGCATGCTTTTGTAACACCATGCATCAGTTCATTGGAAATGCTGGTATACGATGTTTGCTGTTTTTCCAGTGGATACATTTCATTAAATACTGAAAGGTCACATTCATGGAACAGTTTCATCAGGGAAGGGTTGAAGTATCAGGAAATCACTGTCAAGTTTTGAATTTTTTTTTCTAAAGTAGTTAAAATTTAACCATTAGCAACAAATCCTGTCCATTGTTTGCCTTTGACGTGATACGGTTTATACCCAAGTCTAATTTACTATATTTTATCGGGTTATTTTGCGAAAAATGATGTTCTGACTGTAAGTGTGGGATCTACATAAGTTACTTCCAAAGAATACAGCATGGGAAGGGGAGAAAAGTATTCTGGAGAAACCTGACGGACACTACCTGGAACCAGGTGACCGAGGTCAACGTGAACAGCAATATGGTGATAACCTGGGCCCATGATATGGTGTCATGAGAAGAGGACTTGGTCTTCCTCCCTAAAACCCATCACCTCAGTCTATGAGAATAACAGACAAATCCAGTTGAGGGACATTCTACAAAATACCTGACCAGTCCTTGGAACTGTCAAAGTCACTAAAAGGAAAGTGAAACGATGAGGACTCTAAGGACTGAATATGTGGGATCCCGGATGAGATTCTGATACAAGAGAAGGATGACGTTCGGGAACACAAATCTGAATAAACGATGGATTTGGTTATGATCATGTATTGCTGGTTCACTAGTTGTGACAAGTGTGCCATAATGTAATACGTAGTTGATGGCAATGGGTGTGGGAGGTACTTTAAACAAGAATGGAGGAAGGCGAGCTCCAGGCTGAAGGACCAACTTGTGCAAATACCTGGGTGGGAGCGCAATGTTTGAAATCGGAAGGCAAATGAGCTCGGAGTGGGGTGAATGGGGACAGAACAGCCCGAGGTCAGGATAGTCGGCGACGCTCAAGACTTGGGGTCTTTAGTAGTCAGATGGCACCTGCAGTGGTGCAGCACCGGCTTTGGGTTCGGGTCTTCCTGGGAATGAATCTCAGCCATGACATTGTGTGACTCCCAGTGAGTTACGTAACCTCTGGTCTCGGCTTCCCCGTCTGCAGAACGAGAGAAATGTTAACATACGTTACCTCCTAAGAGTGTTGCCTGGTACATACGAACTAGCTGCTTCATCCCGTGTCTTGAGACAACAGGAATCAGAAATGTCTCATGGATGAATGGCAACACCTGACCGGCCTCATCTGCATTTTTATTTATGCATTTGGGATGTGGGTAACATTCTACGGAGGGGGAAACTGAAGTCAGGGACGAAAGCAGTCCCGGGGCCCACCCCGGGAGCGGTCGTGCGGGAGCGGGGCCTCGCTTTCGCGTATCTCGAGTTCTAGGAAGGTAAGAGGGACGCAGAGGGTCAGCCCCGAGCCCCCCGGCTTCAGGACCCAGGTCAGAGGAGAGTGGGCGGGGCGGCCCGGGGCCGGAAGTCGGCCTTCCGACTTCCTAAGTGTGCCCGACGTCTGCCCCAGCCAATCGGCTGCGGGAGGGCGAAAGTGTCAGCCAGTGGCGAGGCGGCATCCGGGTTCGGAGGACCGGACGCCGGCGGGCGGGGCCTGGAAGGCGGCCGGGGGCGGGGCGTCACGAGCGGCGGGGGGCGTTGGCCAATGGGCGCCGGGAACCGCCCCCGGGGGCGGGCACTGGCGGACGCGGTGACGTCGACGCAGGTCGGAGCGTCCCGGCGGCCGAGGCGGCGGGGCTGAGGAGGGCGGCGATAGCCAGCGCGGCAGACGGCCGGCCGGGGCGCGGGGCCGCGGAGGGTGCGGAGCGGGCGCGGCCGGCGGCGGCGGCGGCGGGCGGGGGAGGCCGGGGCGGCACTTGGAGGCGCCGGGGGACGTCCGGGGACCCGTGGGCTGAGCGGGCCGGTGAAGGGGCTGGGTCGGGGCTTGCGAGGGGCGTGGCGGCCTCCGGGACGCTCCAAGGGGGGGTTAGGGCTCGGAGACACCTGCGGGGGGTCTGCCCGCGAGCTCGCCCCGGGGTCGGGGCAGAGGGCAGTGGAGGAGGCTCTGCGGTGTGGCCCTTTGCGGGTGGGGGAGACGGCGGGGGGGCCTCCGCGGGGGAGCCCTCGGGGGGCGGGGCGCCGGGGGCCAGGGCGAGGGGCCGGCGGCGGGGGCTGGCGCGAGCTTGACGGCGAGGGTCCGTGGGGGAGTGGGGGAGGGGAGCTGCGGGGGCCGGCGCCGCACCGACTTGGCAGGTTGGGCAGGCGTGCGGAGCCCCGGGGCTTAGGGGTGCAGAGTGTGGGGGACCCTGCAGGAAGGGGGGGCTTTGGATGAGCAGGTTGGGAGAAGCCTGGGAGGGAGAGGCAGAGAAGGGCTGGGGCGGCGTGACGGGAGCCGGCGGCGTGGGCCTGGGGGGGGTTTCGGGGCTAAGCGGGCACAGTGGGGTTGCCAGCAACATCTGGGGTGGTGTGGTCACCGAGCGGGATAACAGGAACGCACCCCGCGCGCCGCATGCACGTGCCCTGGCCGAGGATCGTGGAACTTAGTTTTGGGGGAACTTAGTTGTTCCATTTAGGAGTGATGGCTGGCGTCTCACTTCTTCCCTATTTCCCTGTCTCCTCCAGGTCACAGCTCGGGGACTCCCTGAGGTCCTGTCGCCAGCCTTCAGTGAGAGGAGGGCACCGGAAGGCAGGCCGCCCACCATGTCCACGTTCAGGCAGGAAGACGTGGAAGACTACTATGAGATGGGGGAGGAGCTGGGCAGGTGAGCAGGGCGGCATGGGCGAGAGCGAGAGGCGCTGCGGGGTTTCCAGATCGCATCCCCCCTCCTGTCCTTCATTCCCCTCTCCAGTGCGAATGAGTCAGTGGCATGTGCTGGCGGAGGGAATTTAGGCTTTGGAGTCAGGTGGCCCTGTCCGCACGTTCTTGCTCTGACCTTCTCTGTGCATTTCCTTCGGGGAAAAATAGAGTTGAGCGCATGGAGCGCCTACCAGAGCGCCTGGCACGTGACATGAGAGCGGTAGGTGGTGGCGGTGTTTGTTGGTAAAGGTCTGTCCCTCTGTCGAAGCCTGTCTTGATTGAGGGAGGTGATTGATTCTCGGGCACGTTTGCAGGAGAGGCCTCCTGTCTGGGCCCACGTCCCTGCCAATTGTTTAGCATTCTTGTGGGAAAGCGCGGAGGTTTCCCATTCCAGCCAGGCAGCTGATTTCCTGTCTGGCGGGGCCTTGAGTGTCCCCTGAGAACACCCTGCCTCAGACTAGCCAGTCACCATCTCCTCCCCACCCCACCCCCCCTCCAGCTTCAAACCTTATTTGGTGAGCTCTCTGCTGACCAACCCATGATGTCACCAAAAGGGAATGTAAATAACTGAGTCGTGCCTCAGGCCTTGGCTGAGAAAGTGTTTCAGGCTCATTTGGGATTCTGAAGTCTCTCCTTTAGGAATTTCCTTAATAGAGTCACAGAGAATGTAGGGCCCCTCACCCCGTCCCCTTCTCTCCCCCCATGCCCCCTGCCCAATCTCATCCTTTACTGTTGAAAATGTGTTAGGTTGTGGCTTGGCAAAAGTCAGCCAGTCTCCCATGTAGATTCCCCTTAATTCGCCAGCTCCACTGTTAGGAATTAATTCAGCGGGAATACATGCATATGCAAACCCAGTGACCCAAGAACGGGGGTGGTCGCTGTAAGGATTGTATATGAACAAAGGGCGGGGAGCCTCTTCAGTGGTCCCCCCAGCACCACTGCCTCTGTGGGTGGAATATTACGCAGCCATTACAAGGATCCAGGCAACCTGTATGATGTTCACCACCTAAGAAGTGTATTGAAGTTTTGTAGTAGCTGTGTCAGTTTTAATAGTTTTAATATATTTTATTTTAACCCAGTAGGTTGAACTATTACTTTTTGCTTGTAATCTCAATAAAAATTATGAATGAAAAATTTTACCACCTTTCTTTTTGATACGAAGCTTTTGAGGTCTGGTGTGTGATATACACTCAGAATACATCTCAGTTTGGACTGGCCTGTGGGCCACCATGTGGTTGGTGCCTGTCATCTTGGACAGCACTGCTCTGGTGATCCCAGTTGTGCTCAGAGAACCATGAGGTGAAGGGTTAAAGGGATAGGACACTGTGAGCACTGTGCTGCAGTTTGTATGAGTTATGGATGTCATTTTGGCGTCTGAATTCTAGTCTGTCTTTATGTTTTGTTCATCTGCGAAAGGACCTACGAGGCAGGTGTGCTCTTACCCTCCCCGTTTCATAAAGGAGTGGAGGCTGAAAGGAGGGAAGCAGCTTGTCCAAGACCATGTGGGGGTCAAGCCTTGAGACCAGGCCCTGCTGGGTGCAAAGCCCAGACATTCTGGAACCAGAGGTGAACATTAGGCTTCCGCCTGCCCCCCTGGAGCAGGTCCATTAGAGGTCCCAGTGAAGAGCAGCCCTGCACGTCGGGAAGAGCATGCATCCTTCTGCCCCCGAGAGCATCCTCTCCCATGCTTGCTCTGCACTTTGGCAGGTGGCAGGTGGCTGCTGCAGGGAGCTCCCAGTTTCAGAGGCAGGCAGGGTCTTCCCTGAGGCCAATTGCTGATTGTCTTTGGGGAGTTAGCTGCCAAGCATCACCGTGGCAACGAGGACCAGGACTAAAACAGGGCGACACTTTGTTGTTCCAGGGGGATGGGGCCACATGAACTGGAAGCAAGTTTCTTTGTGTGTGTGCTTGGGAGGGGTTGGGGGATTCTTTCTTCCTAGTTCACATTGATAGTCTCGGGAAATAAATTAGTCTGTGGTTGACAAGTGTGGACTTTCACCCTGGCTTTGCCTTGGTAGAGTGATGTGTGCACCTGGGCTGGCTTGGGACAGGGGACCACGAACCAGAGGTTTATGGTCTCCCCGGCCTGGAGGCAGGAGGCACAGATCAGGGTGTCACGAGGGCTGAGGGCTGATTCCTTCTGAGGTGCCTCTCCTTGATGTACAGATGGCCATCTTTTCCCTGTGGCCTCCCAGGGCTGTCCCTCTGTCGGCACAAATCTGTTCTGCTCTCCTCTTAAAAGGGCTTGGATCAGATTGGGTTCAGCCTCTCCCGTGAGCTCTTTCTAACTGAATCACCTCTTTAAAGGCCCTGTCTCCAGAAAGTCCCGTTCTGAGGTGCTGTGGGTTAAGACCTCAACATGGATTTTTGGGGTAACACAGTTCAGTCTAGAATAGCATTTTTTACCTGTTTCCATGAGCATTACTGCTCTTCATTTGTTAGCTCAGCTCAGAATAAAGCAGGGAAAAATAATCCATACATTTGAAAATGAGGCCCCACGTCTAGCTTGAAGCACAGTGCCACTGGTATGAGGTGAATGTTCGGCGTTCAATGGCATTACCATCGGGAGTCTGTCATGGGACTGGAGGTGGGCCTGGAAAAATTAGCTTGGCTGCTGTAGGCAAAAGAGAAAGGAAAGCATTTCAGGTGGCGGGAGAGTTAGTGGAGATATGGAGGGGACAGGAGCATGATGTACCCAGGAGACTGTTGTGGCAGGTTCAGGGGATGGGGGGCGAGGCCTGAGTCTCCTGTCACTGCTGTCAGTGATCACAGTTCAGCAGCCTAGAAGAGTGTGCAATTATTATGTGAAAGGTCTGGGAGTCGAGAGTCTATAGTGGGACCTGTAGGGCTGGTCCCCCCGGGGCCCCAGGGAGACCCGGCTCCTACGCTGCCTCCCTGGCCCGAGGCCCCTCCTCTGTCCTCACTGCCAGCAGCGCAAGGTCTGCTCGTCTCTGGGACTCCCACCCTCTGCCTCCCTCTCGTGAGGACCTAGTGAGCATGCTGGGCCCCCCAGGAACCTAGGGTCACCCCCACCTCGGTGGCCTGACTTGCTTCCACCTGCAAGGTCCCTTTTACCAGGAGAGGTGGTATATTCACAGGTCTTGGGGATTCACATGTGGGCATTTAGTGGGGGCTGTCGTTCAATCCAGTGTGTTAGTAATAATTTTGTACCTCCTACCTGCTCACCTTGAACTTTGCCTGGTCCACTTATCAAACAAACCCAGTTGGGTTCCTCAGCTTTTTCGGGGGCCCTCCTGGCTTGGCAACGGCGTCCCTCACTAGTCTGTGTGTCTCTGTTCTTGGGCTCCTGCCTGGCCTGTCTTCCCTCTGCCATCCCCAGCGTCAGAGAGCCTGCCCGGACGCTCGCCTACCCAGTCTCTGCCCTTCCTTCCTCCCTTTACGCCCTCCCCTTCAGTTCCTCGACAGATCATATCATCTTTTCTCTTGACCCCTGGTGGTCTCTTAAAATTTTCTTTGTGGAGCGAGTGCTTTGTCTTGGAATTGGTTCCTGTGCATGTGGAGTCAGCAGACTACGGCCTGTGGGCAAATCCAGCCCCAGCCTAGTGTGGCCCTGCCTGCCTGTGAACCTGGAATGGTTTTTTATTTTTTCAAAGGTTGTAAAAACACACGAGAATTATGACAGAAACCACATGGCCCATAGGGCTAAAAATATTTACTGTCTGGTCTTTTTCAGCCAACTCTTGAGTTAAAGTAAGTTAATATAACTAAGTTCCTGGATAGCAAAATAATTGGGACGTTGGACAGCTCCCTGGAGTGCAGTAAATAGGATTTCTCTCTCTTTCGCTTTTTTTTTTCTTTCGCTTTTAATACCTGCTATCTTGAGCTATAATCCACATACTGTACAGTTCACCCGTTTACAGTGTGCAAGTTAGTGATCTTTAGTGTATTTACAGGGTTTTGCAACTGTTACCCTAAATAATTCCAGAATATTCCATCACTTAAAAGGAACCCCATCCCCATCAGCTGTTACTCCCCATCCCTCCCCCAACCCCCACGAGCCCCCTCCTGTCCTTGCATGACCCTGTTCTGGATGTGTACCACACGTGAACTCACACACGTGGCTTTCTGTGTCTCGTTCCCTCCCTGAGTGTCGTGGGCTCAGGGTCTGTCCCCAGGGCAGTGTGTGTAGGCGCCTCACTCCTGTTCACGGCAGAGGGATGGGCCTGTGCATGGTGGACACATTATGTTCATCTGTCGATGGACATCTGGTTCTTTCCCTCTTGAGGCTGCTGTGAATCCGGCAGATTGAGGATTTGCGTAGAAGCTTCTCTGTGGATTTATGTTGTCGTTTCTCTTGGGCAGACACTGGAGGGAATTGCAGAAGCGCATGGAAACAGTGTCTAAGCTCCCGGGGAACCAGTAGCCCGTTTCCATGGGTGTGGGCTCCGGTCCCCATCCTCTATCAGTTTGAAAATGGGTGTGTTCCTCTCACTCAGCCAGTTGAATAAGAAGCCCCTTTGAAGTCAGTGGCTTTTTTTCTTTTTTCTTAGGTTTTTAAAAATGATGAAATAGACCAGGGAAAGATAAATCAGTGTAGAATTGTATTACGTAAAAGTAAAAGCCGCTCTTGGCTGCCCTGACCCTCCACCCCTTCCCTGACATGGTGGCGAGCCCTCAGGCCTCCTGCCCACTGTGCCCTCTCTGCAGGCCTTTGTAAGCAAGCCCGTCTTGCCCCGAGCAGGTCCTCAGTTTGTCTCCCAGTCTGCTGCTTTCTCTTGGCTGTGTGGGATTCCACCGACCCCGGAATGGACTTAATTCCCTTTTGCAAAAACCGAGGGGCAGCTTTGCCCTTTGCAGTGCAGAAATAACCATGGCCGCTTTGAACGCACCTAACAGCCCCCCCCCACCCCAACTAGAGGCAGAGGGGCAGGGCCGGGAGGTGCTGTCTCAGAAGCTGCATCCTTTCCACTCCCCCAGTCCCTCACAGGGCTCCACTCACTCCTCTGTCCCCGCAGCGGCCAGTTTGCGATTGTGCGGAAATGCCGGCAGAAGGGCACCGGGAAGGAGTATGCGGCCAAGTTCATCAAGAAGCGCCGCCTGTCGTCCAGCCGGCGGGGAGTCAGCCGGGAGGAGATCGAGCGGGAGGTGAACATCCTGCGGGAGATCCGGCACCCCAACATCATCACGCTGCACGACATCTTTGAGAACAAGACTGACGTAGTGCTCATCCTGGAGCTGGTCTCAGGCGGGGAGCTCTTCGACTTCCTGGCAGAGAAGGAGTCACTGACAGAGGACGAGGCCACCCAGTTCCTCAAGCAGATCCTGGATGGTGTCCACTACCTGCACTCCAAGCGCATTGCCCACTTTGACCTCAAGGTGGGCCCTGGTGGCCAGGGAGGGAGCTGGGGACCAACTGGGCAGGTGAGGTGGGGGGCTGGGAAGGGGGTCCAGCTTTTATGGCACAGAGTGCACCCTTGAAGCCCCATTGCTGCCTAGGGGTCGAGACAGACCAGCTCAGGCCTGCCACCTATGGGGGGTTCCCAGGGAAGAGCCGAGGCTGTCCCTGGGAACCCTGGGCCAGCAGAGCTACAGAGTCCTCCTCCACCCCCCAGCCAGAAAACATCATGCTGCTGGACAAGAACGTGCCCAACCCACGGATCAAGCTCATCGACTTTGGCATCGCCCACAAGATCGAAGCGGGGAATGAGTTCAAGAACATTTTCGGCACCCCTGAATTTGTGGGTATGGCGCTGCATGGTGCTTTGGGGCTAGGGTTTGTGGGACTGTTTGAGGTTTCCTGGCCTGCGTGCACGCCTCAGGCCTAGCCCCTGGTCATCTGGTCCACGTCACTCAGATTTCCTTTCCCAAGTCCTGGTCTTAGGCACATGAGGTCAGGCCTGCTGCCCCCAGAGCCGGCCTTGCCCCCCACCTGCAGGTGGGCTGTGCTGCTCCCTGTGGCTGTGTCCCCAGTGCTGCCTTAGATCTACCCAGCGTCTGACTCTGCACCTTCTGTTTCTCTGTCTCTACAGCTCCAGAGATTGTCAACTATGAACCCCTGGGTCTCGAAGCAGACATGTGGTGAGTGGCAGGGAGTGGCAAGGAGTGGTAGGGCTGCTGGCGCTGAGCCCAGCACACAACACACCTGGCATGTAGCACCTTTGCTCCTCTGGGAGTCCCCTGATTGTCCATGGGAGCTGCCCGGCCACAACCACAGGGTAGGACGTAGCCCATTCTCATGGTTGTGATGCTTTTGGGTATGGGCCAGGTAGACCATTGCCTTAGAACAGGGGTCGGCAAACAATGGCCCACCAGCCAGAACAGGTCTGTGAGCTTGGAATGGTTTTGTTTTTAAGGTGATGTTAAAAACAAAACAGACAAATAAGCGACAGAGACTGTGGTCCACAAAGTGTGAAATATTCATTGTCTTACCCTTTGTAGAAAGTGTGTCAGCCCACTTTTGAGCACAGCAGGCGTCATAGAGTCCTGCATCTGCCGCAACCCCTCCCCTGCTCTGAGCTGGATAGGTGGGTGTGGCCAGACGAGCTCAAGCGTCCAATCCTGAGACCCCCAGAGTGGGAGAGAGGACCCTGGAAGGAGAGCAGGCCATGGGCTTCTGGCTTCCCCACCTGGACTCTGGATCCCCGGCCATTTAGACGTTTTGAGAATTGGGGTGTTGCCGCCCACTGCTGAGCTGATTTCTCTTCTTGTGTGTTCTCTCCAGGAGCATTGGAGTCATCACCTATATCCTGTGAGTTCCCGGTTGATGCTTCCTGCATTTCTTGAGGCCCTGGGTCAGGAGGAGGGTCAGGATGGCTCCTGTGCAGGGATGGGGACTATGAGCTCTGACCCACCAGAGTGCTCAGTGAACTTGGTGGGTGGATGGGTAGGTGGTGGATGGGTGGGTGAATAGCTGGATGGGTGGGTGAATAGGTGGATGGGTGGGTGGGTAGATGGTGGGTGGCAGATGGGTGGGTGGATGGATGGGTGGGTGAATAGGTGGATGGATGGTGGATGGGTGGGTGAATAGGTGAATGGGTGGATAAATAGGTGGATGGCTGGATGGGTAGATGGTGGGTAGCAGATGGGTGGGTGAATAGGTGGATGGATGGTGGGTGGTGGATGGGTGGGTGAATAGATGGATGGATGGTGGGTGGTGGATGGGTGGGTGAATAGGTGGATAGGTGGGTGAACAGGTGGATGGATGGATAGGTGGGTGGTGGATAGTGGGTGAGTGGTGGATGGGTGAGTGGATAGGTGGGTGTGAATAGATGGATGGGTGGATAGTGGGTGGGTGATGGATGGGTGGGTGAAAAGGTAGATGGATGGGTGGATTGTGGATGGTTGTATGGGTGGTTGGGTGGATGGATGAGTGAAGAATGCATGGATTTGCGCAGGAGGGAAAGACAGTTCCTGTCTCGGGCTCCTGGAGAGCCCTGCTCTGTGCAGAGTGGTTTTCCCTGACCTCATTCCCTCAGGCACCATTCCCTCAGGTTGGATTGTTCCTCATCTCCATCCCTGCGTCAAGCAGGCTCCCACTGCTTTTTCTTCCCTTGTCAGATGGTAGAGCGATCCACTCTAAAGGTTTGTTAAGACAGGTTTTTATTAGGTCAGCTTTTGTTTTTAAAGATTGAGGTTTACAGAGGAGCTACATACAGAGCCAGTACAGAATTCCTGTGTGCCTCACCCAGCGTCCCGGCATTAGTGCCCTAAAGAGCATCTGTCAACACCAAGAAATGAGCCCAGTACAACACTAGCAAGTAGAGTCCCAGAGTTTTCCTGCTCTTGCCTCTTTGTGGTCCAGGACCCCACCCTGGATCGCATCCCGCAGCGTCCCTCAGTTCTGGCGCCATCAGCCTGGAGGTGGCTCAGGGATTGGTCCCAGTTCTGCCACCAGCCACAGGCCAGATTATCAGATCAGAGGCTCCCTCGACCCCCTCGGCCTGGAGAGCTTGCTGGAGGGGCTCACAGAACTCAGAACAGTGTGCTTTCTGGTACCAGTTAATTATGAAGGCCGTAGATATGGACGAAAGGCCAGATGAGGAGGCACGTAGTAGGGTGAGGTCTGGGAGGGCTTCAAGCGCAGGAGCTTCTGTCTCCGTGGACTTTGGGGTGCACCCTCTTCTCCACACAGGGCATTCAGCCTGGAAACTTCAAGCCCTTTCATTGGGGGATTTTATGGATGTTCCATTGTGTAGGCATGATTAAGTTGTTGGTGATGGAATCAATCTCTGGCCCCTCTTCTTGCCCCAGAGGTCAGGGGTGGGGCCAGCGGTTCCATCCTGTTAATCTCATGGCTGCTTCCTCCAACCACCAGCCCCATCCCAGGGTCATCTGGGGTGACTTCCAAAAGTCGCCTCGTTCACGTAAACTGGTGAGGTTGAAAAGCGCTCGTGATGGTCGGCAAAAGGCTCTTCTCATCTCATCACCCTGCAGCCGCTTCAGAAACCGAGGATAGAGACTGAATGTCAGAACAGTTGTTACCACTTTCTTAGTTGTTAGCATTTAGGAAAGCGCGAGGCTTATGGGAGCTCTGTGCCTGAGGACTGGGGTGAGGACCGGAGTGCAATTGTTATTGTCACAGTGCCACGTGCCCAGAGCCTCATGAGATGGTAGTGTGGCCCCCAAGCACCATCAGGATGGCACACGACGTCCTTGTGTCATCTCTGGGGATGTGCACCCTGGCCGAGTGCTGACGTCAGCCAGGATACCTTTCTGGGAAGTCAGTAGCTTTCCCCGTGATCACTAAATGTTTAGGGCAGGTGCTTCAAGCTTCCTTAGGGACATTTGCCCACTCTTCAGTGCCCATCAGTGGCCAGGGGGGAAGATTTTGTGCTTTCTGGTGGAAGGTTACGGGCTGGTTGAGGGCAAGTAACGGGATGTGGGGGGCACCCAGGGCCCGGCGTATGCTTTCCTCTGTGTTCGGCCCCCTGAGGTGGCAGGGCAGAGCCGCTGGGAGCCCATGCAGTGGCCTGTTTGTGGAGCGAGCGCAGGGGCCGCTGAGCCCTGTGTCTACCTTCCAGCCTGAGCGGCGCCTCCCCATTCCTGGGTGAGACCAAGCAGGAGACCCTGACCAACATCTCGGCTGTGAACTACGACTTTGACGAGGAGTATTTCAGCAACACCAGCGAGCTGGCCAAGGACTTCATCCGCCGTCTGCTTGTCAAGGACCCTAAGTAGGAGCGCCAGGCCGGGCCGAGAGGGTGGGGGGTCAGGGGGCTGTCAGGGAAGGCTGCTGGGTCCCCCAGGAGCACGGTCCTCCATGCAGTCCCCTCTGCGTACCTGAGGGTTGGGGTGGCAGTGTGCTTAGCTTGGCTCCCGCTGTGTCTCTTTAAGAGCTGTTAAGTCCTTGCTGATGTTTAAGATAATTTTCATGTGAAATTCCAGATTCTTGGGTTTTTTTCCTAGGAAAATCTAAAACTTCTGGTGTCACAGAGCCTTCACTCCTGGAGAGGGGCTCCTGTTAGTGACAGTCTCGCCCTGGTACAGCCACCCATTCCTGCTACTCTCCTGGTCCCTCCTGTGGGCGCCCGAGTTGGCAAGACCCAGCGTTAGGTCTTGCCCTGATTCACAAAACCTCTGAGAAAGCATGGAAGGCCCCAGGGCCTGTGTCTTCACAGGCCCCTTGATGGGCTCCTCGCTGGCTGAGCAGGGCAGATGCTCTGGAGGGCACAGGTGGTTTCAAGGTCATTTCAGGGGCTTGTTCCCAGGCCAGAGGGGAGTCCCTAGGGGCCCACGTGTGGGAGTCCTTTAAGGTGGGGGTGGAGAGCAGAAGTGCCAGGGAGAGCCTGGAAAACCCTTCACTGATCTCTGCTCGGTTCCCCGCCAGCCTTGTGGGAAGAGGGAGCACATGGAATGTGTGCAACTAACCAGAGTGGGGGGCTCTTACAGGAGAAGAATGACCATCGCCCAGAGCCTGGAGCATTCCTGGATCAAGGTGAGGTGGGCGGGGCTGCTCCCATTCAAGGATGCCATGTGTGACAAGGCCTTTGTCCGGGGAGGGACCCAGGGGAGTGGGCCTGGGTGGCAGAGGACATGGGGTGCGCCTGAGGTGGTGCTGGTACCGGCTCCCTGTGATGCTGGCTGGCTCTTCAGCCCATTTGCACACAGCAGGGCACCTTCCCACAGAAACTCCTAGAATGGGTGACGTCCGCCAGGGGCAGCAGCCTTCTGTAAAGGGCCGAAGGGTCTATGTTTTCCTCTCTGCAGTCTCTGGTGCCAGAGCCACGCATACCCTGCCTGAACGGGCAAGGTGGCCCCGTGCTGATGAAATTTTGTTTGGGAAAGCTGGTGGAGGGCGGGATGTGGCCCTCGGTGGCCGCCGCCGCCCCCTGCTCCAGGCCCTGGGCCTCTCTCCACAGGCGATCCGGCGGCGGAACGTGCGGCGTGAAGACAGTGGTCGGAAGCCCGAGCGGCGGCGCCTGAAGACGGCACGCCTCAAGGAGTACACCATCAAGTCCCACTCGAGCATGCCCCCCAACAACACCTATGTCAACTTTGAGCGCTTCTCCAAGGTGCTAGAGGAGGTGGCAGCAGCGGAGGAGGGCCTGCGGGGGCTGGAACACAGCCGGCGCCTCTTCCACGAGGACATCGAGGCACTGACGGCCATCTACGAGGAGAAGGAGGCCTGGTACAGGGAGGAGAACGAGAGCATCGGCCAGGACCTGCGGCGGCTGCGCCAGGAGCTGCACAAGACGGAGGCGCTGCAGCGTCAGGCCCAGGAGGAGGCCAAGGGCGCACTGCTGGGGGCCAGTGGGCTCAAGCGGCGCTTCAGCCGCCTCGAGAACCGCTACGAGGCCCTGGCAAAGCAAGTGGCCTCCGAGATGCGCTTCGTGCAGGATCTGGTGCGCGCCATGGAGCAGGAGAAGCTGCAGGGGGTGGAGTGTGGCCTACGCTAGGGCCGCGCGGCCGAGGCACCTTTCACCCCGCTCCTGGGCTCTGGCGGGAGTGGCACCACACTGGGATGTGCTCCCGGGGGTGGGGGTTGGGAACTCAGTGCTACCTTCCCCGGCTGAGCTCCTCTGGCCTCCGGCTTTGGCAACTCTGGGGCTTCTGGGGCAGCACCACCTGGGGAACTCTGGGCTGGCAGGGACGCCTTCTTGTGCTGGGCCTGTGTTGGGAGCCTTGCTGAGGATCCAGGGCTTAGAATCAGAGGGGCCTTCCCTGCTTCTGCTGGGCACCAAAGTCCCACCTCTTCTAGCCATGGGAGGCAGCTCCCCTGGGGTCTCCGGTGGGGGCCCCGCCATCCCCCATCCTGACTGCGCCCCAAGGTCTGAGCTGGCACCAGGGCCAGAGTGGAGATGGCCCAGCCCTCAAGCCGTCAGTTTGGAGTGGGTCCTGGGGGTTGTGTTGCCAGGCATGATGCCCTGCTGCAGAAGCCCAGGGAGCCCCAGGTGGGATGAGGAGCCATCTAGGCTGCACGCTCCTCTGCAGCACCTGTGGCCTCCATGCATGTGGAAGACACCCCCCGCCCCCCGACCTCACGCCCCAGCCTCAGTCCCCGTTCCAGTGCTGCCTTTTCATCTCAGGGCTTGTGGGAACCCCTGTGGACTAGTTGCCCCCAGAAAGCCCTACAAAGGCTCAGCGTCTCCTGTGTGCCCCACCAGTCCCTGCCCCCCTGCTGCCCCTCACTGCCCCTCCGCAGGGCCTGATGCCCAGACCAGAAAGGAGTGGAGGGGTTACAGTGGGCAGCACTATCGCCTGCCACTAGGTGCCGCCCTCGAGCAGGGTCACGTGGCAGAGAAGGTGCCCTAAGGTCTGGGCTTCACCTGAGAGTGGGGCCCTGGTGGGTGCTCTGCGCACGTTCCCTGTGGCAGGTCGGGTTAAGCGAGTGACATCTGTGCAGGCCTCCCATGGCCCTGGAGGAGTTCTCCAGGCAGAAGCCAACCTGGGCCGAGTGCAGGGAGGAACCGGGCAGTGGGACTGGCCAGGATCTCAGGACCCGGCTGTGAGGTCAGACAGAGGTGTCCCCCCATGTGCTAGGCCTGTCTGCAGGGCTGGGGCGGGAGCCACTGTGTACCCCTCCACGAGCTCAGCTGTACCCATTTGCATGTGTCTGCCGCAAGCCTAAGGGAAATAAAGTCCCACTTCCCTGACATGCAGCTGTGTGTGTTGTGAGGCCGGGCAGGGGCAGCCAGCCTTGTGGTCACCCGCTGCCGGGGCCTCGCCAGGCTGGCCCGTCTCCTCCCCGCTGCTGCCCCTGTGCTTGGGAAGAAGAGGGCATCATGGGGGCTGCAGGCTGCGTGATCTTGGGGTTGGGCTGGTCTCATTTCCTTGTAATGAATCGGAAGCTTCCAGGCAGCCAGGGTGAAGTCAGAGGAGTTTCCTGTCCATTTGTCCTGCCTCAGCTGCTACCAGGCTACACAGAGGCTCCCCTGCCCACGTTGGGCCCCAGCTTGGGCCGCCCCATCTGCCTGCGGCGCCCTTGTCGCCCCTGCTGTTCTGTGCAGCCCCCGGGTCTGGAATGTTCCAGGAAGAAGCCTTCCTACTTCCTTCCCAGGAGCCCCCAGCCATTATTATGTTGCCTCATCCCATACACCCCAGGGCACATTTCTCCTTGTTTGTCTTGTTTTTGTATTTTAATTTTAAAAATTTGAGATCTGAGGTACCATAACATTTTCCCTTTTAATCTCTTCCTGGTTAGCAACTTCAAGTTTTGGCATTTCAGTAAATTTCAGCTCTTTGCTCAGACCTCGGGTCTTCTCCCTTTGTCCCCAACTGTTCTCTGCAGCTGGATTGTGCAGCCCAGGACCCGGTCTGGCCCGCATATGGTGTCCAGCTGTCAGGTCCTTTAGGATGATGACCGAGCAGCCAATTCTGCTATATGTCATACCGCAAAGAGCAGTGGGCCGGCTGTGGGCGAGGGGCGCCCAGATGTGTGTCAGGTCAGTAAGCTCCAGACCACACGGGGCCCCAGGGGCCGGTAGACAGCACCTGTCCAGCCTCCAGCCAGTGCTGAGCCGTTCTCGCACCTTCTGGGCACCGTGGTGGGCAACGGGAGGCGTTGGCGGGAGCTTGAGACCATGTCTGTCCTGATGCAGGAGAGGAGGGAGTAGGCATCTATCCAGCTGCTCTGAGGTTGGGTAGGAACGGAAATCCACTTCGGACTTCCACCCACCTGCTCGGTGTCCAGGGTCGGCCAGGCTGCAGGCCTAGATTCCCGGCATCTACTAAGGGTAACGGGCAGGTGTCCTGGCCTTGGAAACAATTTGGTTCCACCCCTCCCACCTGGGTTATCTTGGGTGTCACACAGCTCGGCCCCTGCTTCCTCATTCCACCACTTGAGGGCCTGAGGAGCCACCTTGGGCCACCAGGGTGTCTGGCCCGTGCAGGCATTTAGCAGAGCCCGTGGAGCTAATACAGTTACTCGGACATTGGCCCACGGACTCTGAGCTCACCTCCATGGAGCTTTGCCCCCTGAGAGGAGGCTGGTCCCCAGGTGGGTCCTAACCAACAATACAGCAGAGGTGATGGGGGTCACTTGCCTCCTTAGGCCACGTAGGACGGTGGCTCCCATCTTGCTAGCCAACTCCCTCGCCTGCTTAGATGAAGGGAGCTGCCACGCCGGAGGCCCAGGTGGCGGGGAACAGCCAGCAAGGCATAAAGCCCACCAACTGCATGAGTGGTCCCAGAAGCAGACCCTTCCCCAGTGGAGCCGAGAGCTAAGACCCAGCCCTGGATCAAGGGGCGCTGAGCAGAGGCCCAGGTAAGCCGTGCCTGCACTCCACACCCACAGACACTGGGGAGAACGTGCGTCGTTTCAGGCCACCATGCGCGGTCCTGTGTTACACGGCAGTAGTTGACGGATACACTGAGGAAGGTGAGCCACAGCCGCCTGTGTGCTTCCTGAACAGTTGACCTTCTGCTCGTGTCCTCTGCGGCCACACTGCTTGTTGAGCCTTCGTTCCCTCTTTAAGGGGTTGTGATTGGGACGCGTGTTAGTGCTGGGCTGGCATCTTCCTCCTGAGGGGAGTGGACCGTGGAGCACGTGTGCGGGGTGAGGGCTCCCTGCTGTCTGGTTTTGCCTTGTGCGAAGTGGGGGTGTCATCGTGCCGGTTTCCCGGGGTGCGTTGGAAGGATGGACTATGGGAGCCATGGATTGCATTCCTCCTCCAGGCAGGAATCCGGGCAGAGCTGCCCCTAGGTTGGCCCCGATTTGGGCTGCAGTGTGTGTGAAGCTCGTTGGAGGGAATGGTGTAAAGCTTCGTGTTTGTCTCAAAACAAAGCTCAGCAATCGCAGAGGGACCTCGGGCGCGTTACCGCCTCCTGCAAACAGCGCCCAAGCGCACAATGGTGGTGGTCCCCCTTCCCCACCAACGCCGTGAGGATCCGGTGGGAGCTCGGAGAGGGCTTTGTAATCCTGTAGTGCGGCGTTCTCGGAGATGTCGAAGCTGGTGGAAGCCAAGTCTGAGCAGGCGAGGCCACCACTGTGGGCTTCCCCGGGGTGGGTTGGGTTCTCCCCTCATGTGGCCCTGACACGGGCTGCAGAGAGGGCGCGGGGTGGGCACAGGGATGGGCACAGGCATCACAGTCATGACCGGAGCCACACCGCCCAGCTCCAGAGTCGCGGCTCGCGTTCGGCGCTCTGCGGCTGTGCATGGATCATTTCACGTCTCCATGGCTCAGTGTCCCCCTCTGTGAAATGTCCAGAACAGAATTAACCTCGGGTTGGTTTTGAGGATTAAATGAGTCAAGATACGTGCTTCAATGCTGGTCACGGTAGCCAAAGGTGGACACAACCCAAGTGTCCATTGACAGATGAATGGAGGAAGAACATGGTGTCTGTCCACGCGCTGGAATATGACCCAGCCTTAGAAAGGGACCCTGACACCTGTCCCCACGTGGATGGACCCCAAGGACACCGGGCTCAAGGAGGGGACCCAGACCCAAAAGGACACCTCCTGCAGGACCCCACTCCCAGGAGGTCCCCAGAGGAGGGTTATCCTCAGAAACAGGAGGTGGTGGGAGCCGGGGGGAGCGGTGGGGGGTCAGTCCCCCCTGCTTCCCAGGGACAGGGTCTCTGACGGGCTTAAGCACAGCCTCATCAGGCTCTGGGCTCATGGCAGACACACCTCCTCCCTGTTGCCATGTCGGCCCTGCCTTAGGGTATCTCCCAGGGGGGCAGCGAGGGGTGGAGGAAAGGTGGTCAGCACAACAGGCACCCCCTAAGCACAAGTCCTGTTAGGTTGGCGGGGGTGTCGGGTGTAGGAATCCCCACACCACACTGTGTCCGTGGGTGCTGCCACCCTGCTGTAGGTCAGCGGCAGGCCACGTGCCCTGTGCCCTGTGCCCTGGCCTGGGGTTGTGAGCAGGTGCCGGGGAGGAGGCCTGAGCTGGCCAAGCCCTTGGCCGCCGGGTTCCCCACCATACTCGGTGCTGCTATTAATAACCAGGGCAACCCCTGTTATTTAGGCCGGCTCTGGGAGCGTAGGGAGTGGACAGACAGCTGCTAGACACCTGTCCAGCGTTCAGGAGCACATGCACCGTGTGCTCAGGACTTGCAGGAGCCCCTGTGGACTAGTTGCCCCCAGAAAGCCCTGCAAAGGCTCAGCGTCCCCTGTGTGCTCCGCCAGCCCCTGCTGCCCCTTGCCGCCCCTGCCGCCCTGCGGGAGAAGGCCGTCTCCTCCCCAGGTCCTCACATGGTCCCCCCTCTGTGCGTGCCTCAGTCCTGAGCTGCTCTCCTGTAAGGACACGGGTCATGTTGGGTTAGGGCCCACCCATCCTTGTGACATCATTTATTTTTCAAAGATTTATTTATTTTGAGAGAGAGAAGAGAGTGAGCACATGAGCACAGGGAGGGGCAGAGGGAGACGCAAACTGTGTGCTGAGCAGGGCCCGACGCGGCGCTCCCCTCTTACGACCCCGAGACCACAACCTGAGCCAAAACCAAGAGTCAGACGCTTAGCTGACTGAGCTGCCCAGGCGCCCCAACCTCGTTTTTTCTTTTAAAGATACTATTTTTAAGTCATTTCTACACCCTGCATGGGGCTTGAACTCACGACCCGAAATCAAGAGTCCCATGCTCCACGTGCTGAGCCGGCCAGGCGCCCCGCCTTGTGGCCTCACCTTAACTGAACCACCTCCAAATACAGTCACATTCTGAGGTCCTGGGATGTTGGGGCTCCAGTGTATGAACCTTTGGTGGCGGGGTGGGGGGGGGCACGACTGAATTCATAAGAGTGTCTTATGGTTTTGATTTTTGTTTTAAGTGAAGCCCTAACAGGTTCAAATCTGGCCCAAGTGTACAGGGACGCAGGGTCCTGAGCTGTTAGCTGCGTGGCTCGTGGGTGGTGGGTGCGTTCGGGGGCCCAGGCCCTCCTGACTGTGACCCACAGGCCTTCCCACCTCTCATCTGTGGCCCCCGGGGTGGTGGGGGGCACACATACAGTGACCGGCATCCCCGCGTGCCTGGTTCTCAATGACACAGGACTTCCAGTGCTGAGACTGGGAAAGTCAGATTGTGCAGTCCCCCTCCCCCCGAACCCCTGTGTCTCCTGACAGCGACCTCTGTCCACCTAGCCACCTCCTTTTGGCTGTAACGCACCCATGTGCCCCCCACGCAACACCTATGGCTTCTCCCGCCTGCAGCGGACGCTGAGCGCAGCCTCTTCTAACGCCCCAGCGACTGTCCGGCTCTGGCTCTCTCTGACACCCCCTGTCTACGTGTGACCAGAGGCAGCTTCGCTCAAAGCCCGAGCAGCTGCTGCCCTTCCCCTGCCCTGACATCCTCCCCCGGGGCTGCCCTGTGTGTCCCCTGGTTTCGCCGGCAGGACCACAGTGGCCCAGACACCCCAGGGAGACCGAACACGTGTCATCCGGTTGGTCGGTCATTAAGGACTCCCTGCTCGGCCACAGCGGGACTGACCTGGTGCAGAGGTTCGGAGAGGTCGCCAGGGGTGTGACCCTCGCATGGAAGGCAGCCACCGGGGACAGAGGGAGCAAGTGGCTCTACCTCTCCTCCTCCCACCTACAGCCCCTTGTGGGCCTCAGTTTCTTTGACTGTCATTGTGGCTGGACTGTGACCCCTGAGCTCCCCCAGGCGCCTGGCTGGCGGGCGGGTGGGGAGCTGGTGCCGGGGGGTGGGGGGTGGCCTCCACCCCAGTTTCAGTGGCCAGAGCTTCCTGGGAGCCTCCTTGTGGGGCCCGAAGCCCAGACCACAGGGGACAGGGACGTCCCCAACGGGGGCCCTGGCAGGGCACCTCTGAGAGGCCGCCTGCCGCCTGGCATCAGCTCACCTGGCACACAACGCTACCTGCCTATCCCCAAACAGTCCACAGGTCATGAAGAGCAGCCATCCTGCCACAGAGTGTTGGATTCCCTTTGTGTGAAACATCCAGAACAGGCAAATCCACAGAGAGAGAAAGTAGGTTAGTGGGTGCCAGGGCCTGGGGGCGACTGCTCGTGGGGACAGGCTTTCCCTTTGGTGGAGATGGAATGTTCCAGAACTAGATAGTACTGACGGGTGCACAGCGTCATGAATGTTCTACACGCCACTAATGGTAAATTTAGAAGAGGGAGAGAGAGGCCAGGTCCTCGGTGAGCTCTTGGTCCCACTAGGGCACCCGGGCCGCTGACCCAGCCCCCAGCCCTGTGCCCGGCGGGGCCCTCTGCCGCGGATGCCCCCCCCCCCGGCTGCCTGCTGCCTGCTGCTTCCCCATCGGGTCTCCCATCAGAGAGGACCCTTCTTTCTAGAGCAGCACCCAGCCCCTCATCCTGGTCCCCACGGAGGCCCTGGGTCGAGCTCCCCACCCCCAGGCCGGGAGCAGCGTGCAGGAGCAGGGACCCCGCAGGACCCCCAGCGCCAGCAGATGAGCGACTGCATGGATTTATGAGTGAAGGGGTCAGGCTTCAAGAACCCCCTCAGGGTCACAAGGGACTTGGTGGGGTGGGGACAGCAGGCGGCCCCATCACCCCCAGACTGGGAGTGACACCCAGTCCCCTTAGAGGTGCCTCCTCCAGGACAGAGAAGCCAGTGCCTCCGGGCCGGGCACCTCTCCTGGCACCTCTGTCCTGGGCGCATGCTCCCCCTGTGCCTGGCCCTGGGGAGTCTATCCCGACTCTGTGGGGCACACCAACCATCCTGTGTGACCCTGGGCCCGCCTGGCCACCCCTCCTTGGCCTCACGGGCACCGTGCTGGGTCGGGCAGGGGCTCTGACTGTGATGTGACGTTGTGATGCAGAACAAAGGAAATGTTCGGTGTCGATCCCCGTTCCCAGCACCCCGCCCCCAACCCCGTGGGACCTGCCAGGTGAGGAGAGGGAGAAACTTCTGTCCTTGGGTCCTGAAACAGGTCCAGGGCCATCATGACAAAGGCAGCGTCTTCTGCAGCTTGGGACATGCCCTTCAGGTGCACCTGCATTTCTGGGGTGGGGGGTGGGGGGGTGGGCTTTGGGACAAACCCAGTAGCCACGGGTTGGGGCTGGCGGCCAGTGGAAGGACGCGGGTCGGTGGGCTGGAGGTGCAAACGTCTGTCCCACCCCGCCGACCCCCGAGGAGGGGCAGGGCTGCAGTGGGGGGTCATCACCACCGGCCAGAGGTTGAGGACGCCTGCGTAGAAACCCTAAAGGATGGGGTGTGAGTGTAGAGAGAAATAGAGTTTTCTCTTTCCGGAAGAGTAATAAGAACATGTATATGATTATTAAATTGTTACTACTGTTACCTGCTGGCTAGGTTTGATTCCAGAGAGGCCTGGGGGGTCACCCGAGGCCACCCAAGGTTGCCCGAGGTCGCCGGGTGGGGGCTTCAGGCCGGTGTGCCCGCCCCGCCCCACCTCGGAGAAGTGGACAAAAGGAACAGACCTCCCTTCTCAGTTATCGCGTATTTATTTCCACATAAAAATCCCCCAAAGCTCATGGAGATGATGTCTGAACATCACGACAGTAATCATAATGAAGGGTTTCTTTTTTTAAAAACCACAAAACTCGCCGTGGTGAGGATGGACGTGTGAGCTACGACCTGGGACACATCCCACGTGTCATGGGAGGAAAACCTGGGGTCCCTTTCCCACGAGGCCTGGGGTCCGTTGCATTTTGGCTGCGACCGCCCCGGGACGCACGCCTTGCACAAAGGCGCTCTGAGTGCGGGCAGCGGCTGGCCTGGACGCGGTGGCGCCGTGGGGACGGAGCTGTGCGCCTGGGGACAGCGCCCCCCACCGCGGGGTCCCTCTTTATTCTGGAGGGGCTGCCGCGGCCGAGCCAGGGTCCTGGGTCCCGCTTGCCGGGGTCTGTGGCTGCTGGTGGTCCGAGGGCGGCGGGCCAGCCGGGGGTCCCCGTGCAGCTGCGGGCTCCTCTGGGGCTGCGGTCTGCCGCTTACTCTCCCTCTGTCGCCTCCCTGGCACCGGGCAGCCCGCACGGTCCCAGCCCTCGGCTCACACCCGGCGCCTGCCAGCCTCCGCTGCCTCGGGCTCCAGGTGACACACGGTCACCAGGCCCGGGCCACGGGCCTGTCCTTCACTCGACATTCGGGAAACGCGGCAGAAACACACACTTAAGAGCCCCCCCGCCCCCAGGTGTCCCGGGGATCCAGGCGCAGGAGCGCTCAGAAACCCCGCGTTCCCCAAGGCAGGAGCCTCCGGTGTTGGGGGTGGGAGCGGCCCGTGACATGCAGGACCCCCTCCCACGCAGCAACGTGCGCGGCACCAAACACCGCTGGCCCCTCCCAAACACCTGAGGTCCCAGGCTGAGAGGCATCTGACATTTCCCCCGGGGCCAGGAACCCCACACTCACGATCTCCACGGCTAAGAAGCCCGCTGCGGAGCCATAGGAGGGGCCGGGGGAAGGCGTCCATCCCAGTTCTGCTCAGGTTTATATAAATAGAGACTCTTAGGACTGGAGGGGACCACAGAGGGCCACATTTTGTAAGCACTTGCCAGCCTTTTCTTAAATGCCTCCACCGGTGGGGAACTCACTACCTCTAGAGGCCAACCTGGCCAGCCCTGGGTTTGGGCTGCATTAGGAAAGTCTGTCTTTTGTCCAAGGTCAGTTTGCCCCCTTTGACGGCAGGTCCCCACAGCGTCCGGGCCACGAGGATGTGCTCTCCCAAGTGAACTTCGAAATACTCAAATCTGCAGTACCCTGTATCTTCCTTCACGCAGTTCGGAGCCGGGTCCCCTAGGGGGGAACTTGAGGGGTGCATCCCAACCCTGCATTGATTGCGGAGGGGGATCAGGAAAGTGAGGAGACTTCATTCCCTCAGTAGGAGGTATTGATTGATCAGGATTGCCCTGCGGTGGCATCCACGTTAAAGGGGCTCGAGAATGTTCTAGATTGGGAGGGGCGGCTTTGTAACTGCAGGGCAGGGATGGTTATCGGCAGCGCACTTGTGTGCTGTGGGTTCCGATGCCCCTAGAGACGGCGGGTGTCACAAGAGATGAAGGGAGCTGGTCAAATGGAAGGCTGGGAGGTCCCTGGGGCACGGCCCTGCTGGGCGGCTGAGCTTCCAGGCCACATGCCCAGAGCTGCAGGGGATGTTCTAGGAGAAAAGGCACAAGAACGAATCCAGATCCGGCCAGGGAGCTGGTGGGCATCGGTGGCTCCAACGTGGGCCAGGTGACAAACAACAGAAGGGTCTCGAACCAGGACTTGGCACAGTGGGAGGGGTCTCTGAAGCCGTCCAGGACACACGGGCCATGCCCTGAGCCGCTCGCTCGTCCTGGCCATGAGCTCATGAGTGTGGAGGGGTGGAGGGCTGAGAACCAGGGCCCCTTCTGGAACACATGAATACTGCGCTGTTTAAATAATAAAAAACAAAACAAAAAGGCTTCCAAGCAGCTAAAAAGGATGCTGGGTTTCAGAGATGGATGGAGGGGACTGGCACACACACCCCCACCCCGAAGACGGGGACTCAGGGCGAGGCAGGGTTGAGGTCCAGGGCCAGAGGGCGTCTGACAGAGGTTTCTTGGCATCTGGAATCTTCTTTCTTGTTCTTCTCTGCATTCTTGTCACCTCAGGACATGCTAGAGAGGAATAAACACAGGCCAGGTTACTAGGATTGTTTTTAAAGAAAGTAGGGGATGCATCCCTGTGTGGAATCCAGGAGCACGATCTTCTCTGGCTTTGGGGATCCTCAGCAACAAGAGGTGTACCTGCCGGCCACCCACCCTCCAGGTGTGGTTCTGAAGGGGACCTCTCTCTCTCTGTCTCCCAGCCCTAGTGGAATGGGGCTCTGGGGCTGGCGCCACCAATCAGACCAGAGGGACACTTCAAATCAGCCACTCATCTTTCTGTTCCTCCGTCTGCCCATCTACTCACCCACCCATCGGTCTGTCCATCCATCCATTGCTTCCTACAATCTCTTCCATGTCCTTAATGATTTTTAAAGATTTTATTTGTTCATTTTTAGAGAGAGAGAGAGAGAGAGAGAGCGAGCATGAAGGGAGCAGAGGGGAGGAGAGGGGCAAGCAGAGTCCGCGCTGAGTGAGGAGCCTGACATGGGGCTCGGTCTCACGACCCTGAGATCACCACCTGACCCAAAATCAAGAGTCGGATGCCTAACCGACTGAGCCACCCAGGTGCCTCATCTTCAATCATTTAAAACATCTTGATTTATCACCCCTACCTGAGGATTCCCAGGAGGGGGTCTAACCCTGCTTTTCGTTGTATCTGCTGGCTCTCACTCATGGTGGCTGACTTCCTTGCATGTTCTGTGTCTGTGGACACAAAGTCATCTCCGGAAGACAGGGATTGAGATGACCTCGGAGATGTACCAATAACTTGCTTCCACTCAGTGTGCCCAGGGAAGTGCTGGTCTAAGACCTTTTTTCTTTTTCTTTTTTTTTAATTTTACTTATTTATTCATGAGAGACATAGAGAGAGAGAGGCAGAGACACAGGCAGAGGGAGAAGCAGGCTCCTTGTGGGGGAAACATGATGCAGAACTCGATCCCAGGACCCTGGGATCATGCCCTGAGCTGAAGGCAGACGTCCAATCATGGAGACACCTGGGCACCCACTAAGACCATTTTCGATGTTTCTCTCTTGGCTTGGGGCTTCCCGGTTGAGTGGCTGCTATTGAGGCATGTGGTCAGGCCGTGTCCCAGATTTGTAGGAGACCGTGTGGTCAAGGATTAGCCCTTACTGCTGCATGTTCCAAAGGAAGGTACGGCCCTTTCCCAGATCCCAGGAGGTAACCCAGTCCTTCCTTGGAGGGCCCTGCTTGGTAAGAGTGCCTTTGTCCACCTGGAGACCTTGGGCCACATGGGAGAGTCTGTGCTAACAATGTGACCTAGGATGGGTGGATCAGCCCGGCCTCTGCAGGAGCTGAGGCTGAGGTCAGCCCTGGGGGAGACTAGCCACGCATAAGGGACTGCCCCCAGCAAACACCCCGAAAACCAAGACGTGGGAGAGTGTCCCTGGTTGGCAGCATGTCCTGTGTATTGCCACATGCTGCTGGGAGAACTAAGGGCTGTCTGGATAAGTCCCCCAGGAGGCAACCGCTGGAAGCCCTGCCCTGGTCTCTCCTGGCCCTGGCATCACGCACCATTGCTCATGGCTGATCTTCACCTGCATTCATCACTCCTCGGCTGTATTAAACCATAACCGTGAGCATAGCAGCATTACTGAGTCCTGTGGGTCATTCTAGCAAACCTGAACCTGGGGGTGGTCTCCATGGACACCCCCCCCACAATACACAGATGCCGAGAGGCTTCTCCTGGCATCTAGAACAGGTGTGGACGCTGACACTGGCTGTGGGCAGGCAGTGTACCCATGGCTAAGTAATACAGCCCAGGCTTGGGGCACCAGGCCAGCTCAGTCCCTACAGCATCCAACTCTCGATCTCAGGGTCATGAGCTCAAGCCCCATGTTGGGCGTGGAGCCTACTTAAAATTTTAAAATAAATAGCTATAAAAAATAAATAAATGATTAGATAGATAGATAGATAGATAGATAGATAGATAGATAGATAGCAAGTCCAGGCTCCACATGGCCTGGCTCCAGGCAAGCATCTCAGGCAGGGCTGCCGTGCGGCCTGGCTCTGGGGCCTCCTGTCAGTGATGCCCCCTGGAGCTGTGCGGGGACAGGCTGCTTGCCACAGAGAAGACCCTGTTCTCCTGATAGCTGGTGCCCCTCTGACCCTCAGACAATAAATCATGGAGCAGTTCCCATGGGGTAGGCTCCACGTGCAACATTTGGGAAACCGGGCACCAAGATGGCCCTGCTTCCGCCTCACCTTGTTTCCTGATCTTCTGTGGCCAGAGCCGACCTGTGGAAGAGAGACATCTTAGTGTCGTTGGCCTATCTGGGGAGCCTTGGCATTTGGCCGCGAGCCCCACGAGGGTCAGCACGGCCTGTCGTCATCTGTGCCAAGCAAGCGTCAGCACGTGTCTGTTGGGTCGTCAGTGAGCCAGGCAGTCCAGAGAAGAGGGGCCGAGGCTCCTCACTAACCCAAAATAAGACCAGTAATGTGGCTCAGGGTCCTGGCCTGGAGAGGCCAAACCCACCCCCGGGGAGTGGCATGATAGTCACCGGCCAGCCTCAGCCACCCACGGTCCCTACCCTTGGCCTGTGCTGGATGCAGGGGGTGGGGGCGGGGGATGGTCCCAAGACACAGCCCCTGCCCCCAGGTCATGCAGGGCAGAGATGGAGGGTGACCCGGGCCAGATGCAGAAGGCAGGCCGGCCAGGTGGCGGTGGGTGGTGGGGAGAGGGCCAGGGCCGCGCCGTGTTTCTGCCCGTCCCAGGGCAAGGTGTTAAAGGGCTTGTAACAGTATTTGCTGAAGAAAGAACAGGGGAGGAGGAATGCGAGCAACTGCTCAATGGGTCTCGGGTCCCTCGTGGGGTGATGCGCACTGGAATGGGCACTAAAAACGGTTCATTGAGGGACGCCTGGGGGGCTCAGTGAGGCGTCTGCCTTCGGCTCGAGTCATGATCCCAGGGTCCTGGGATCGAGTCCCAGTCAGGCTCCCTGCTCAGCAGGGAGTCTGCTTCCCCATCTGCCCCTCCCCCTGCTTTGCTCTCTCGCTCTCTCTCTCTCTCAAATAAATAAAATCTTAAAAAAAAAACCCACAATAGTTCATTGCACATCACATGAATTTCACTGTGGTGAGGAAGCCCCCGGAGAAGAGGGGGGACTGTGGCCGGCCATCCAGGGTCGTGCTGCACGGTGGGCGCGTGTGTTCTGAGCCCCCGTGGCCCCGAGAAGGCAGCCGAGCCCCAGAGAGGAGCAGCCTTTTCCATTTTATTGACTGTTAGTTCATCTGTCTACCTACCTATTTATTTTTTAAAGATTTTATTTATTTGATAGAGAACCACAAGTAGGCAGAGCGGCACAGGGAGGGAGAAGCTGCCTCCCCAGGGAGCAGGGAGCCTGATGTGGGACTCGATCCCAGGACCCCAGGACCATGACCTGAGCCAAAGGCAGATGTTTCACCAACTAACCCCCTAGGCGCCCCCATGTTTATTTATTTTAAAAGATTTTACTTTTTTAAGTCCTGTCTATGCCCAACATGGGGCTTTAAGTCACATCCCGGAGATTGGGAGTCCCACCCTCTGCTGACTGAGCCAGCCTCTGCGGTGTCCCCGAGGGGCATCCCGGGTGGAGGGAAGGGGGACCCCGATACTGAGCCCCCACAAGGGAGTGGGCATCATGCTGGCCATTCACACCCGCATTCTTATGTCCTCGTCATGACAGCATGGGGGGCACGCTCACCAGGGGATCGGGGGCTCGGCGGCCCTCACCGCGGTCACCTGCACGCTCACCTGTCCTCCGCCGACGCGGCCTCTGGCTTCTCATCAGACCGGGGCAGGACGAACTCTGGCTGCGGTCTGGTGCTGGGGACAGACAGAGGCAGCAGGGGTGACAAGCCGGCCACCGTGGCCTCTGAGGGTAGTGTTGGGGGTCTCCCTGCCCCTGCACAGGCCCCCAGGGTGCAGAGATCACCCAGAGGTTACTGACAGCAGAGGCGGCCATGGGGACAGGGCCTGATGGGGGCGGCCCGTCATCCCAGACACTCGTGCCCTCGTCCTGTGGCCCTCACGGACGCTGCCACCCTGTGCCCTGACTCTGGCCTGTGGTGCTGGTCTCTGTCCCCTCTGCAGCTAAGGCTTGGGGGGGCCCGGATGGGGGGGCACCCCTTAGGGAGACAGAGACAGAGAGACAGGGAGATAGAGATGGAGAGAGGGGCAGAGAGGGAGGAGAAAGGCAGACAGACAGACAGACAGACATCTCCGCCTCACACCCGGGGGGGGGGGGACTTCTGTCCTAAAACCAGAAGCTGCAGCGACAATGAGCCAGGAGAGGCTGCGGGACTGGGCCTGAGACAGTGACCCTGCCGCGGAGCGCGGCGTGGCAGTTCCTCTACCTCTTAGAAGTGGAATTACCAGCTGTCCCAGTGATTCCCCTCTGGGAAAACAGGGACCCAAACGGATGTTTGCACCCCGTTCACAGCAGCCCAAAGGTGGGGGCAACCCAGTGTCCATGGTGGATGAAGGATAAACCCAGTGTGCTCTGTCTACACCCGGGATACGACCCAGCCTCGGGAAGGAAGGGGCTCCAACACCTGCCCCCACGTGGATGGACGGACCCCGAGGACACCGGGCTCGGGGAGGGGACCCAGACCCAGAAGGACACCTCCTGCAGGACCCCACTCCCAGGAGGTCCCCAGAGGAGGCCCGTGCACAGAGACAGAGGAGGTGGTGGGAGCCAGGGCTGGGGCAGGGGCGGGGGGTCAGTGCTTCCTGGGGACCGGGTCTCCGTGTGGGGAGATAGAAGGTTCTGGAGGCGGTGGTGGGGGTGGGTGCGTGGAGGGGTGAGTGTGCTTCGTGCCCCGAGCTGTGCGCCTACGGGGGGTTACGATGGTGAATTTCATGTTATATATATTTAACACAATAAAACATTGAGAAAGAGAGAGAGAGAGAGGGAGAGAGAGAGAGAGGACGGAAGGCGAGACGGGGAGGGGGAGGAGGCTGGGGTTGGTGTGTCCGCCTGCCCTTGGCCTCCCTCCCTGTCGCCTTCGGTTCGTCATCCTGCAAGGCCACCATAGCTCTGCTCCTTCTGTGGCCCGTCACCCACGTCACCCACCCTGCCGCGGGCCCCCCCTTCCTTCCTTGGCGCCGTGTCCCTCTCCTGGGCCGTTTGCAGACCCCAGGACCCTGTCTTAGCCACCTGCACCGCCACCCCAGGGCAGGCACAGGGCCTGGCAGGGATCGCCCCGTCTGCCAGACTCGGGGTGCGGCCTGGGGCAGCTGCCTTGCCGTCTCCGGCCCTTGGGTTCCTGGGCGGTAAGATGCTGTCAGGAGCCCTGGCCCTGGCCTGCTCCGGGCGGTGGGGAGCGGGGTGGGGTGAAGGGGAGATGGCTCAGGGCCCCGTGACGGGGTGGGCCTGGAGTAGCCCTGGGACCCCGTGACCGCCACACACGGTGATGCCGCCCGTGAAAATTGAGCCAGTAAGTTAGCAACGGGGCGTTTCTGGGGTGTCCGGGGCCAGGACAGCACACGATAATTTAATCACGATGACGACGAGCCACCGTTTTTGCCGCGGGGGTCCCGTCGACCTGATCTCCCACGGTAACCCGCACAGCGGCCGTGGGGCCGACGGGGTTCGAACCCAGGTCTGATTCAAGGCCCTTGACAAGGCCCCCAGCCGTGTGTGTGTAGGGGGTGACCGGCCCCTGTTCAGCTGACGCCCCCACCTGCCCCCCAGACGTGAGCCCGACCCGGCCCGGCCCTGGCCCGACGGCCGCCCCGCACAGACCTCTCTCTCCGGGCCTTGAGCCTTTCCTCCTCGTACCTGGAAGAGAGAAAGCACAGCCGGTCGGCCGCGGCCCTCCTGCCCCCCGAAGACGCCCCGGCGGGATGTCCTTCCTCCCGGGAGGGGAGAAAAGCTCACTGTCAGGTGTGCACACACGCCAGGCTCCGGAGCAGAGAGCGAGCCCCGCAGTGGCCCTGCCAGCGCCCCAGCCGGGAACACCTGACTCGCTGGCGAACTCCAGCGCGGGGTACAGGCCACTCAGCAGATTTTTTTTTTTTTTGCCTGATTCAGCACCAGCAACTGAAGCAGTGCCGTCAGGAAGCGGCATCCTCGCCGATGAGGGCTGGCCGCCACCGCAACATCGGGGCAGCTTTTCTGTAACAGCCTAGAGAGTAAATATTTTCGACTTTGTAGGCCACTTGCAGCCGCGCTACTCCATGCAGAGGTAGCTCGGGAGCAGCCACAGCTGATGTGGGCCCGTCAGTGGGCGGGCGTGGCTGTGTGCCGATAAAACTTTATTTATAAGACAAGCTGTGGGCCGTGGCTTGCCGGCCCCTGCCCTGCGCTAGATGCCCCCTGTGTTCCCCTCCGCTCCGCTGCTCCCACTCACGTCCGGGGGCTGGTCCCCACCACCCCCATCCCGGAGAGGGGAGATGAGGAGGCTAGCATCGCTGGGGCTGGGGACGGGGGACACTCACACGGCACAGGGACACTTACTGCAGCACGCAGTCTGGGATCTGCACGTGTTCCATGGGGATGAGCTGCTCCAGATCCTCCAAGCTGTGCACATACTGGATCTTGTTGATGAATTTGACGCTGGCGGGAGGAGAGGGGGGCAGACGCCTGAAGTCCGGGCCCGGAGGGGGCGCTGGCAGTCGAGGAAGAGCACACAAGGCTCCTGCACGATGTCCCGAGCACCTTCCCTCAAATCTCCCTGGCTGCCCAGGCTAGCCTCGACCCCCGCCCCTCGTGGGGGTGCACAGAGCAGAGCCCGGGGTCAAGGGGCAGGGTCCCTGCCGGGCTGTGTCACCAGCATGCTGCTGTGAACTCATGGCCGCGACTACTTTTTTCACATTTAATTAAACCTAATTTCGGTAACACATAAAGTGTTAAATGACCTTTTTTTCAAGGTCAAACGATGTTGCTGGATGACAAACATAAGGCCTGGAGCATACAGCACTACAGAAATAATAAAATGATAGATTTTTTTAACAGTAAAAAAAAAAAGATAAGATAAAGCCAAACATGTACAGAAGTGTGCTAAGGCGTTTCATATCTATTTGTAGAGATGAGATAAGAATTCGGCTCCAGCTTTCCCGCAGCCGATGCACAGGGGGACAGATGAGCAATCACACGGTTCGCAGTGTCCATTAGGGAAAAATAAAGCGGCTGCTCGGCAGAAGGTGACTGGTCACTGATTGGGGACAACAGGCGTCCCCCACAGAGGGTCACAAAGCGGCCGTGTGCGGCGCAATGAGCGGCCCCAATTGCTTTCACGCAGTTCAAATCACTTTTTTTAATACAAAGGAAAAAAAAACCCAACCCAGTTATTCTTGGAACATGGGGTTGTCACGAGAAGGGACCGGGGGCAGGGCGTGGGCCTCAGCCAGCCAGGCAGGAGTCGTGTCCATGTTACCTGAGTGCGTCCAGGCCCAGGGGCTCTGAGGGTGGACGATCTGATCCGTTAGGAAGGGTTTTAGGGTACGCAGAGCCCGCACCTGCTGCTCTGGGCCCTGGGCTATCCATACAGGCGGAGAGCACGGCTGCTGCGGCCCCGCGACGCCCACCGTCCCCGTCCCCGGACACTGTGCCCAAATCTCCGCGGTGACAAGGCTCCGTCTGCCTGGGGGGCCCGCGTCCTATCTCCCGGCAGGCTCAGAATGGCCTCCACCTTCCTAGGCTTGTAAATGGGGAAGCTCATGTTTCTCTCCCGCCTCCTCTTTTTTCTTTAGAAGCTCAAACCTGGGACACCTGGGTGGCGGTTTAGCGCCTGCCTTCAGCCCGGGGCATGATCCTGGAGACCTGGGATCGAGTCCTGCATCGGGCTCCTTGCATGGAGCCTGCTTCTCCCTCTGCCTGTGTCTCTGCCTCTCTCTCTCTCTCTCTCTCTCTGTGTTTCTCTCATGAATAAATAAATAAAATCTTAAAAAAAAATAGAAACTCAAACCTGACCCCTCAAAATTCGCCGTGAGAAAGCAATCCCAAGTGAGAGAGTTATCTGCATCAGGGCAAACGTACGTTCCCAGTTGGGGGTGCCCAGGACGGTAGAGCGACCTTCTGTTGGGCAGGAGGACGTCTTCACCGTTTTGCCCAGCGGTGGTGGTGGGGGGGGGTTCATCGTGAGCACACGCGGCCCGTGATTAGCGCACTTGCCTGGTTTTACTAGTGTGCAAGTGTTTCAAGGTGCCACCAAGTCCCTGAACACACACCGTCTGACATCACCTCCTTGCAAACTGTTCACGCCGAGAGCGTGACCCTCTCAGAGCGTGGACCTTCCCTCAACCTCCCCACACATCATGAACTGGGAATGTGGATGTGATGGATTTTTTTTTTAAGTTTATTACGTAAGCAGTCTGTACACCCAACGCGGGGCTCGAACTCACGACCCTGAGATCAAGAGCGGCCCACGTGCTCTGCGGCTGGAGGCAGCCAGGCGCCCCTGAAGGGTCTCAATCCGATTCAACGCTTTGAAGCATATTGGATTCAATATGGGGTTTATGCCATCGACTGGGGCATTTCCTATGACTAGTTTCGCTTTACTTGATCTGCATATCGGGTGCTCTTATATCGCGTGGTGAACCCAGCAGGTGGGGGTCCCCAAAGCCTGCACATCAAAAAGAAAGAACCGGCTTCCTGATGCTCGGGGAGGCCGCCTGGCGGCTCCTGGAATGTCCCACCCGCGAGGAGCGCCCTGGTGACCTGGGCCGGGACCCTGTCACACAGTCTGTGTCAAGGGTGTGACTCGTGGTGGGCGTCTCGGGCACATCACATCAGTGTGAGGCCAGCAGCTAAGGTCGGACCCTTGGCTACTCCATCCCCATGTGGCTAAACCCAGTGAAAACCTTGGAGAGCAAGGGGAGCTCACTGCACGGGAGGGGACAAGCGGAGTCTGGCGCCCGCCCGCGTGCACCTTCATCCCTTGCACCTTCACTGCATCCTTCCCCTGCAGCAAACCGTAGCAGCTGCTCTGAGCTGTGAGCCCTTGCCGTGAATCACCACACCTGAGTCTCGAGGACCCCAACGCACAGGGTTCCTGCATCATTGCGGGGAGGGGCTCAGACTCTCCTGGCGTCCTCAGGGTCCCTGCGCAGATGCTGCGGTGGACGGAGCTCGGCTCACTTCTGGGGACTGTGTGGACTAGTGACCTGGCTGCGTGACCCGGGCTGGGTCCCTTGATCCTACAGGGCCTTGGTTCCCTCATCCGGGCAAGGAGTTCGCGACAGCATTGGCCTCTCAGGCTGCGATTGTAAATGTTAAGAGGGATCCAACACGTAATACGGGGGGCTGCCTGCTATTATTTTTCCTGTTTGTTCCTCAATAACCGCACCTACGGCTGAAGACGCGTTAAAGCAACAATACGTATTCGCCCTAGAGAAGCTGCAAAATCCGGAATAGAACAGCAGAGGCCCACGACCCGAGTGGGGGCCCCGCACAGGGCACAGCGTCCTTACCTGATAAAGGGCCGGGAGATAGCCAGCACGGTGCGGATGAACCAGGACGGGTGCACGATGATGAGGGACTTCAGGTTTTTCCGCAATCTGGGGGGGGGGGGCAGAGGGAGCGCCCCCCGGGAAGGGAGGAGCTAAGGGGTGGTTCCTCCCCTGCGCTCCCAGGTCCAGGCCACGCTTGTCTCCAGTTTCCAGGGGGTGGGGAAGAGGGGTCCGTGAAGCTGGGTTACTCCGTGACCGCTTTGTGGGGTTTGCAGGTGGCCACCCTGATGTCTAGTCCTCGCTGCCACCTGCTCCAGAACCGCCCCTCCCTCACCTGGTTCTGAGCACCTGTCACAGTCATGTCAAACTGCATCGCCCCCCAGATTCCTATGCTATAGCCCTGCCCCTGCACCTCGGATCAGGACATTGGGAAATAAGGTCATCGCAGAGGTAATTTGCTAAAATGAGGCCATGCCAGAGCAGGGTGACCCTATCCCGTCACCAGTGTCCTTACAAAGATGTTTGGACACGGACACAAGGGGGACAGGCCATGTGACCACGGAGGAAGAGATGGGGTGACGTGTCTACAAGCTGAGGGACGCCCAGGATGGCCGAAGACCCCTGGGGGCCCGGAGGCACAGGGGACAGACGCCCCCTCCCAGCCCTGCCCACAGCGATCCTCCACCGCCCACCTCCGGGGCCGGGCTGACGACCACACGGCTGCCATGCAGGGGCCCGGGGGTCCCTTGCTCCGGGTGAGCCTCCACACGCCCTCCCGCGCCCTCGCCCCCCAGGCAGCCCCGCCGCACTCACCTCCTGTCGATCATCTGGTAGCACTTCTTCAGCCAGCCGATGCCGGGCATCCTCCGCCGGGGGGTGGCCCCGTTCAGGTACACGATCATGTAATCCTCCGCCACGAGCAGTTCCAGACTGCTGATGACGTACCTGGTCGCAGGTGCGGGAGACGGGGGGCCAGAGTTAGGGAGCCGTGGTCCCCACGGCTGAACACCCGGGGCACCTGGCCTCTGGGCTCTCCCGCCCCCGCCGTGCCAGCCACACCTGCTCGGCTGCGGCCAGCCCTCCAGCTCGCTGGGGGCGGGGGAAGGGGTAGACGCAGCCCCCTCGAGATTCGTGTCAGTGGACAGACCGACAGCAGTCGTTACTACCTGATGGGGCACTTATTAGGCACCAAGTGTTTTATACGCATGAGGATATAGTGTCTCGGTTAATCCTGAGCGGTGGGTCTCACAGCCCCAGTTACAGGTGGGGAACGGGCACCCCGTGGACAGCCCCCCCATCGGACCTCACCATTCTGGGGTCCGTCCCTGCCCCATCCTCCCTGAGCCATTTCAGAGAAATCCTCTCCTCTGTCTCAGCCTCTACTTCCCCACCTGTCAGTGGGGGGCGTGGGGGGGGTGGTTTCTCGGCTTCTTCCGGCTCTGACCGGTCATCCTCTGAACCACGGGCCCCCCAGCCCCACGGGGTGAGAAGGAAATCTTCGTAATAACAAACACAGGACTAATCGTGATTTGCGAGCCCTTTCTGTTACCCGCAGGTGTATTATCCGTCTCCCTGATAACAGGACTCGACCAGGCTGTCCTGGGCAGGTGTCGCACCTGCAGAGGGAGGGGCATCAGCGCCTACTGGGTGGTGTTTCTGCACACGCAGTGCTTGGGCCCGTGGCTGCCCCAGGGTAAATGCTCAGTAAGCTCAGGTGGCAACGGGGCGGGGGGGCGCTCAGAACCCCGGGCCGGGATGGAGCAGGCGGCCACTCACAGGAAGAGGTTCTCCATGATGTAGTGGTAGTCGGGGGAGCTGCTGTCCGGGAGGAAGCAGGCAGCAAACACGATGATGGCGTTGAGACCTTCGCCGTAGTACCCTGGGGACAGGTGGCCAGTGAGCGGCGGGAGCCCTGAGAGGCCCCGTGCTCCGGCCCAGGCACCCGCCTGCTCGCCAGCCAGGCCCCTCCCCAGAGGGCACAGCTCTGAGTCGTAGAACCTCGACCGGGGGAGTCAGCAACCCCCACCCCCGTCTGGCCACCCTCACAGGCACCCGTGAGCACCCCTGTGTGCGCCCACCCAGAGACGAGGGCGTAACATCCCTGCAGAAGAGACTGAGCTTCAGAGAGGCCCTCCGACGACCCGCAGGTGGCTGGCTGGAGCCAGGAGGAGCCCGAGGGGTGCGGTCTCACCTCCGTGGGTCACTACCCTCATGTAGGGCCGGATCATGTGCAGGTCGATTCGGTGTTCTTGTTCTCCGATGATCACCGTCCTCCACAGGCGCCCATTGGCGGCACCACCATCCTCCGCGGCGCCGTCCCCAAACAGGTCCGCGCTGTCCCCGGGCATGTTCTTGGCGGCGGCCACGGGGGTGTCATCTAGAAGCGGGCCGGGACGAGCAGAAGGGATGCCTGAGGCCAGACGTTTTGTTGCAACCTCCCGCCCGGGACCCCTGTGCCCTGCTGCCTGTGGACGTGTCACCCCATCCTTCTCCCGTGACACTGGTCCATGTGTGTCTCCCTGCCCGGAGCCCCTGCTCATCCACTGTCCCTTCCTGCTCTCCCTTCACACTGCAGCTCAACTGCCACCTTCTCCAGAAGGAAACCGGATCAATGATGGGAAGCCCCCGTTGCGGAGAAGCCCAGGGCCGGTGACTTTGTGGCTAAACCTCAGCAGACACCTATCTTTTCTTTTCGTTTTTAAGATTTTATTTATTTGACAGAGAGATAGAGAGAGAGAGAACCACCAGGGAAGTGGGAGAGGCAGAAGCAGGCTCCCTGCAAGGAGCCCGAGGCAGGACTCGATCCCAGGACCCCAGATCATGCCCTGAGCGGAAGGCAGATGCTCAACCACTGAGCCCCCCAGGTGCCCTGAATTCCAGCAAACATCTAAAGAGGTAACACCAGGGGTCCCGGGATCGAGTACTGCCTCGGGCTCCTTGCAGGGAGCCTGCTTCTCCCTCTGCCTCTGCACCCCCTACTCGCGCTCCCCCTCTCTCTGTCAAATAAATATATGAAATCTTTTTAAAATGAATAAGTGGGTAACACCAATCCTTGTCCCTCAGCACTGCAGAAAATTCGGGGCATCCCGGGCGCCGGGGGGCAGGGCGGGCCCAGGAGCACCCCCAGTGTGACAGCCCCAGATATAGCCCCGTGACCCCTGGGGCAGGATGGCCCCTCAGGTGAGACCCACCCCCCACCCTGTCCCAACGCCTCACAGCACGGACGACCAGTTGCGACCAGCTTGTGCCGTCGGTTTTGCTGTGCCCGGGCCTCACCTTCCCACTCCAGCTCGTTGCCGTTCCCCAGGAACTCCAGCGAGTCGGTCTCGTCGGGGGTCTCGATGTCATCCACGTTGATGTCCAGGTCATCGGGGGTGTCCAGGAAGTCGTCAGACAGCAGGGAGCCCTCGCTCTGATCCAGGGAAATGTTGATCTCCGGGGCGACCAGCGTCTTCCGCTTGCGATGAGCTCCGTTGAAGTTCAAGGCGTTGGGAGGGGCTGTTCGGGAAACCGGGAAAGGAGACAAAACAGCTGTGGCTTCGCCGACCCGGCCTGGGCTGCCGACCGGCTAGAAATCTAGAAATCGGAGGACGTCCTGTGGGGCCGGTGGGGGTTCATGCCCTAACCTTCCGCCCGGAGGGGCTGCTTCCTAGCTCGCCTCACCTCCCTGGGCCTGCCTTGCTCTCACCATCCGCCAGATGCGACTCCCATGAGGTGAGTGAGGTCAGGGGCACCCCGGGGCCTGCGGACCAGCCCCAGACACTGTGCTCCCCACCCGCCAGTCCCTGCGACCACAGCTCCCTCTGCATCCGGCCGGAGGATGAACCCCCACGGGTGACTTTGGGCCTCTCCCTTTAATAACTGGCACGAACCGACCCCGTCACTGGGGCCAGGCCCCTCGTGAAGTGCTCCCCCAGCTTTTTCACGGGGCATCTTTGCACTGATATCCGTGCCAGGCAAGTTCTGTTATCATCCCCTTTGCCAGGTGAGCACACTGAGGCACGGGGGGTGCAGGCGCTCCCTCTGGAGCTGGTCAGGGTGCGCGAGCCTCCGGGCTTGCACTGCTTTCTCAGCCTGCCGGTGGTCCCCTTGTGACAGGTGGCTCCTCCCCAAGGGGTTAGAGCCGATCCCGTAGCGAGCGCAGCAGAGCCAGCACGGGGGGGGGGGGGTGGAGGTTACCCTACGGGCGAGGAAAGCCCCCGGCTGCCCCCAAGCCCGCTCTTCCGGAGACCCTGGGAAGGCGCGGCAGGTTTGCCAGCGAGGACAGAATAAATGGGCCAGTGCGAGAGCCCTGCCCCTCTCTCACCGGATGAAGACGCTCCTCGATCCATAATTAAATGCACCAGCTCCTCACTTTTCTTTTTCTTTTTTTCCTCTGAATTTCTCCGGCCCCGAGCCACGGGTCAGAGGTGACCGCTTCACGAGTAGCTTGGAGGTAAATGTGCGCTTTGGCACAAAGTGATGAAAACAAAACCACCCTGTTCACTCTGTGCCCGTTCCGTGCGCCCGCCACTGATGTGACGCCTCAATCGCAGCATGACCCGGCGTGGCAGGTCGCGTCAGCCACTTTACAGATGGGGACACCGAGGTGGTGATTGCCGGGAGCACGTGGCTGGGGCGCGGTGCATCCAGCGTGCTTGGTAGAAACGGGGCTCCCTCTCCCAGGGGGTGGAGCTGCGGGGGGTGGGGGGGACCCGCAGCACAGGGCATCGAGCCAGAGGAGTGCTCTCCAGCCTTAAAATCCAATAGAATTAAAAAAAAAAAATCCAATAGAATTTGCACTAAAAAAAAAAAAAATCTAATGGAATTTGTCCTGCCAAGCTTCAGACTTGCTGGGATCGACTGGGATCAATGATCTCTGTCTTCCTTCCTATTTTTCCTTTTGGGAATGAGGATGTGTGTCCCACGCCTGCCCCACCATCATATTACGGAAGCCGGAAACCTGTTGGGTTTCCCGTGTTCACGGCTGAAGAGGAATTCTGTCCCAGGGTGAGCCACACCGGAGCCTTCTTCCTCTACGGCCCTCGACTGATCAGATGCGGCCCACCCACACTCTTGAGTGCAATCGACTTTACTCAGCGTCTACTCATTTAATTTTTTTTAATTTATTTATGATAGTCACAGAGAGAGAGAGAGGCAGAGACCCAGGCAGAGGGAGAAGCAGGCTCCATGCACCGAGAGCCCGACGTGGGATTCAATCCCGGGTCTCCAGGATCGCGCCCTGGGCCAAAGGCAGGCGCTAAACCGCTGCGCCACCCAGGGATCCCGCGTCTACTCATTTAAATGTTACTCTCATCGAAAAAGTGACTCTCAGCAGGAACACGTAGAATAATGCTTGGCCACATCTCTGGGTGGGGTGGCCCAGCCACGTGGACACATACAACTCACCACCCTATTTCTCCATCTCCTTAACTAAATAAAAATCAGGGACCCCTGGGTGGCTCAGTGGGTTGAGCGTTGCCCTTTGGCCCAGGGCATGGTCCCGGGGTCCTGGGATCGAGTCCCACATCAGGCTCCCTGTGGGGAGCCTGCTTCTCCCTCTGCCTGGGTCTCTGCCTCTCTCTCTGTGTCTCTCATGAATAAATAAATTAAATCCTTAAAAAAAATTTTAAAAAAGGAAACAGGGCCCAAAGGGGTGAAGGGACCCACCAGGATCACCCTCTGGGGATGTGACAACAGCAGGCAGAACCTGTGTGCTCAGGCCAGGAGGAGGACCGGTACCCTAAGGTGACCAACCATCCTGAATGGCCCCAGAAAACTGGGCCGCGCTGGCCCCCCGTCTGGCTCACAGGCAGACCTGGCTCCTAGTGCTGTGTGACGTCAGGGATGTGGCTGTCCCTCTCTCGTCAGTCTTCCCTCAGAAAGGGTGGGCGCTGTGATGAGCTGCGTGGGGGAGATGCGGGCAGAGTGGGGGCCCCAGCAGGACTCTGAGGAGGACTTATTCAGGGGAGCTCCTCTGGCTGCCCTGGACCCCCTCTTATTCTGGGGTCATGAGCCCTCCTGAGCACTTAGAGCAGCAGAGCCTTCCCAGGCCTGACTTTGCACCTGGCAACCCCTGGGCACTTTATACATGTCGCTTCATTAAATCCTTGCACACCCCCTTCTGCGGGAAGCTCACTACCTGTATTTAATAGGTAAGGACCTGGAGGCACAGAATGGCCGAGCAACCAGCTCAAGGACACATAGCAATGCCACGTGCCAACTTCATGACCCACCGTGGCTGAGTTCCCTCTGGGCCTCCGAGCCGAACAACCCCCTCCCCTGACATTTCTACAGTCCAACCTCACGCAGAGCGAGAGCTGGAAACAGCGCGCCCCAGGCCACTCGCGCGGACACTTACAGGACGTGTCTTCCGTGGGGCTGCCAAGCGGGTCCATCCCTGTCTCTTCCGGGAGCGGCCTGCAGGCCGGGCCGAGGGCAAACAACAACAACAACAAGACTTGGTTAGTTCTGAGGAGTCACTGGGCCAGGACACACCTGCTCTCAGTGCAGAAAATCATAACCCATCAGTGCTGGAGCTGCGGGGGGGGGGGTCCCCTTTGGATCATCTACGGATGTTCAGCCTTTCTTGCCTTCTTTTGGATGCAGAATGCCAAAGCCCACGGATGGGGGGCGGGTCACACACACTTTCCCTTCGGAATATGCACAGCACTTTTCAGGAGTGACCCTGCAGAGTCTGGTCCCCGGGATGTGTTTTGGCTACTAAATGCTGCAAGGCGTTGTCGGGTAAACCCAGTAATCAACCAAAAGGCTCTCCGTGGTCACCGCTGGGATGGTTCGAGCCACAAAGGACATCATGGATTATTGGACTCTGAGCCAGAAACAAAATAAATGGCCACGAGGGTCGCCTGGGTGGCTCAGCGGTAGAGTGTCTGCCTGTGGCTCAGGGCGTGACCCCGGAGTCCTGGGATCGAGTCCCGTATTGGGCTCCCCACATGGACCCTGCTTCTCCCTCTGCCTCTTTCTCTGTGTCTCTCAGGAATGAATAAATAAAATCTTAAAAAAAAATAGCTATGAGTCCATAAAGATGTAGATAAATGATTGAATAAGTAAATAAATAGGAGGAAGAGACAAATTTTTGTGGAATAGAATTCCAAATCATGTATGTAGATTCTCTGTCATCAAGGACACAGAGAATGACTCCCTTCTCTGTAAGTGTGGGCCAGGACGCGGGGACAGTTGGCAAAGAGGAAGCGAGGGACCCTGCAAGGGAGACACCTGCCCGCCCACCCCAGCCAGGGGACCAAGGCCAACATCCGCGGTGACAAGCCATGGTGACAGCATGTGCCCCCTGAGATGGCCCCAGGAGGAGGGCACTTTGCTCCGGAGTCTTCCTCCCAAAACCCAGCCTTGCCATGAGAAAAACCCCAGACAGACCCAAGGAAGGGGCTTTCTACAAAAGCCCTGCCTGGGGGCAGCCCGGGTGGCTCAGCGGTTTAGCGCTGCCTTCAGCCCAGGGCCTGATCCTGGAGTCCCGGGATCGAGTCCCACATCAGGCTCCCTGCATGGAGCCTGCTTCTCCCTCTGCCTGTCTCTCTCTCTCTCTCTCTCTCTCTCTGTCATGAATAAATAAATAAAATCTTAAAAAAAAGAAAAAAAGCCCTGCCCGGACCTCCATGCGACTGTCAAGGGGCATCAGAATCAGAGACAAGGAAAGTCTGAGAAACTGTCCCAGCTGGGAGGAGCCCGAGGAGATGTGACGCCTGCGTATCCTGGGGGATGCTGGGACGGAAGAGGGACATTGGGGAAACTGAGGAAATCAGAATCAATCGTGGACTTCGCTCACTAGGAATGTGTCAACATTGATCTGTTAATTGTAACAGATGCAGTCTCCTAATTTAAGACGTTAATCATGGGGGCGCCCGGGGGGCTCAGGTCATGATCTCGGGGTCCTGGGATCGAGCCCCCAGCATTGGGCGCCCTGCTCAGCAGGGAGTCTGCTTCTCCCTCTCCCTCTGCTGCTCATGCTCTCTCGCTCTCAAATAAATCTTTTTTTTTTTAATTTTTATTTATTTATGATAGTCACACACACACACACACAGAGAGAGAGAGAGAGAGGCAGAGACACAGGCAGAGGGAGAAGCAGGCTCCATGCACCGGGAGCCCGATGTGGGATTTGATCCCGGGTCACCAGGATCGCGCCCTGGGCCAAAGGCAGGCGCCAAACCGATGCGCCACCCAGGGATCCCTCTCGCTCTCAAATAAATAAATAAAATCTTAAAAAGATGTCAATCCCAGGACAAGCTGAGTGCAGAATATATGGAAACTTTCTGTCATATTCTTGCAACTTTTCTGTAACTCTTAATTTATTTACTTACGTTTTTTTTGGGGGGGTGGGGGTGGAGAAGGCGGAGAGGGAGAGAAGCAGACTCCCCGCTGACTGTGGAGCCCAGACGCTGGGGCTGGAGCTCACGACCCCGAGATCGTGACCTGAGCCCCAATCAAGAATCGGGCGCTTAACCAACTGAGCCACCCACGCGCCCCTGGTAAATCTGAAACTTCTAAAAGGTAAAGTTTTGTTTTATTTCTTTAAAATAATGCCGCCAACTATGCGTTGGTGCCCCTGTAACGGCCAGCTGAGCGTGGATTTGCAAAATAAGACCTTTCTTCAGGCCGCACCGCCTGGACCAGCCTGGACCACTCCTGGGGCCCCGGCTCATGCTGCCCAAGTTGGAGCCGGACGCTCTGGCTCCTCTGCTCCTGGGAAACAGGTGTAGGCAGAGAGCGCGGGCTGCCAGGGGCTCTGGCTGCAGGGTGTGCGGGCTCCGGGGTGCTGGTCAGGGGAGGAGGGTGCTGGAATGCGTTTCCCTTTCACTGAGCATCTGACTTTGGCTCAGGGCGTGACCCCGGGGTCCTGGGATCGAGTCCTGCATCTGGCCCCTTTCATGGAGCCTGCTTCTCCCTCTGCCTGTGAGTCTCTCTGTGTCTCATGAATAAATAAATAAAATCTCAAAAAAACAACAACAACAATTCATTCCTGCCAGGGCCTGAGTCGGCTCTTGTCTTCCTCTTCTCTCCCCTTTCCTCCTGCTCACGGAGCATGGGGTGTTCCCTGAGCAACCACCCCCCACCACCACCAGGTGCAGTGATGGGGGGGGGAGGTAAGGGAGGAACAGGATCCCGCTCTGCTGCCTCGCAGAGGTCACAGGTCAGAACAGGCCCACGGGAAGTGAGGACACGTATACACAGAAGAATCATCCCCCAGTGCTCACGGCGCAAAGGTTTGCAGCAGCCAAAGGCTGGAAACACCCCCAGTGTCCATGAAGGGGCGAAGGGGTATAGACAACGTGTCTCCCACCTGTGGGCGTGTCACTAGCCCGCCAGCAGGAGCGAGGAGCCCACATGCTCCCCCAGGGTCAGACCCCAAGTCCCTGACGCTCAGCGAGGGAACCAGACACAGGAGGCCCCACGGGGTGTGAGTCCACGTGTGTGACACGTCCAGGACAGGCTCATCTACGGGCGGGAAGGGGGCTCATGGGAGCCAAGGAGGGGACGGGGAATGACCACTGATGGGGAGGGGCTTCCATTTTGGGGAGGTGGAATGTTCTGGAATGCGACAGGGGTGGTGGCTGCACAACATTCCAAATGTACCAAATGCCACTGAGCCGTGAACTTAACCCCGTCGCTTTCACGCTCTGTGAATCCTCCCTCATTTAAAAGAAAAGCAAACAAGCTTGGAATAGAGTCAGAAGAGGCGGACAGGGCCGGAGAGCCAGCCTGTCTCGGGCGCTCCTGCTCCGCACTGTGGGTGACCCGCGAGGGGCCCAGGGCCCCAGAGCCCAGGAAACACCAGCCGCCTGCCGGGGGACCCCAGCCTGCAGACCGGCGGTGGGCGCACCGCCTCCAGCTCTGTCCTGCCCACACAGCACCTGGAAACATTTTACATTTGCTGTCAAATCAGAGACGTGACACACAAAAAACTTGGATTTCTGTCTTTTCTGCAATCAGGGACCTGCCCTCTGCGAGTGGTGACAAGCCACCAGCAGCCGACTGCGGGCCACTCCTGCTCCCCAGGGCGCCGGGATGCGGTTGCTTCTGGCTCCTTCTAGCACGTCCACCGCCTGCCCAGCGCCCATCGACGAGGTCTCAGGCTGCAATCCCTGTTCTAGACCGAGCTGGAATCACGACTTACCCCACGGCAGGGCACTTGCGGCGTGCCGGCTTGCTCCTCACAGCCACCCTAGGAGGCAGGGGGGAGCCCACTGCACAGAGGAGGAAACTGAGGCGGGCCTGGGGTCCCCCCCAGGGCACAGGGGAGTAGAAACGACCCAGTGGCAGTGCTGATTCCAGCCACTGCCCTCTACTGCCCCCTTGTGTCCGGTCAGCACATGGGCAGCAACCCCAATGAGGACACTAAGGAACAATCCACTGGCCTGGGCGCCCCACCCTCCATCCAGCCAGGGGCCCTCTGGACCCCCCCGTCCTGCCACCAACCCCCCAGCCGGAGGGAAGCTGCGCTGTTTTGCAGCCTGGGCTGTCCAGTTCCCATCAGGATGTGACTCAGCCGCCCGACCCTGGACGGGGCCGTGTAAATCCTATGCTGGCCACTGACCCAGCGGATTGTGACTCGGCCACCGCCAAACTGTCAAGGTGCAGACGGGGAAACCAAGGCTCCAGGGAGAGAGAGCGGATGTCCGGGAGCCTGGAAGCACCCCCCGCCCCACCACTGATCTCCAGCGCGACGCGTGGGGGTGGTGCCCTTCTCGCTCTGGGCCGGTTTCCCTCATCTGTAAAAGGGGACCTGAGCTAGCACCTCGTTTCATGCAGCTAACGGGTGCAAGTTAGGCGTCAGGGCTCCTGGCTAACTGCAGGGTGGAGCGAGGGCAGAGAGACACTCGTCCGGCTGCAGAAACCCCATCTAGGGGCTGCTGTCAAGGTGTTGGGTAGGCGTGACCTCCGCAGTCCTGTGACACTCCTCGATGTGGGTCTCGTGCAACTGGAAGGCGTCAAGGTTTCCCCAAGGAAGAGGCAACTTTCCTTCAGGACGGTGGCATCACTACCGCCTGCGATCCCAGCCTGCCCCCTGGGTTTCAGACCCGCCAGTCCCCGCAGTGCGTGAGCTGGTGCCTTGGAATAGGTCAGGTGCATGGAGAACACACCTCCTCGGGGCGCCTGGGTGGCTGTTGGTTAAGCCTCCGACTCTTGATCTCCGCCCAGGTCATGATCTCGGGGCCGTGAAATCGAGCCCCACATCAGGGGGCATCTGCTTGGGATTCTCTCTCTCCCTCTCCCCTTGCCCTGCTCACTCTCTCTCTCTCTCTCTCTCAAAAAAATATATACATACTCATGTACAAGATAATATAGAAAATATATAATATATTTTATACTTTATATTACATATAAAATATACATAATTATAGATCTGATTATGTGTAATTGCATGTAATTGTATGTACGAC